CCGCGATGCGACTGTACCCAGCACTCCTTAATGCGGACAGGGCCACTCGAGATGCTATTTGGGATGGTTGGGGATTCTCGATCATGGTCGATTCTATAGCGTAGCATATGGTCACGCGCAGTTGCATACACAGTTTGGTTCCTGCAGCAATTTCTACTTTATGTGCCCATAGAGAACCCAAGACTGGTAGTGGGATTGTGGGGATAACGGCGATCGTCGTACTTGTGAGCTCAGATTTATCTGGGGCGGAAATACACCATCGTGCTATCGAGCGAGCCTATCATGAAAATGAAATGAAAATGACCGGGGGATTGGTTGCGATATGCTCCGTACTCCGTACTCCGTGCGCTGTGCGCCGTACACTGCGCCTAAGACCGGAGAATTCCCTCTAAACGAAGATAACCAAATAAACGCGAAATGCCCTCATAATTGGCGAATCTCAATCCTAGTTTAGAAGGTGATACACTTCTTGTTTCACAACTGCCTATTTGATTCTGCAGAGTCCAGCCACCTGTCTAAAAGGCCATGGCGCCCACGCGGGATGCCATCGTTGCCACCCCCAGCCCAGAGGCCTAGGCCTGCCCAGCGATAAGTAGGCTATATTATGTACTAGTATGTACTTGGAGTACTCTGTAGACGCCAATTCTACGGCCGAACCCTTACCCCTTCGAGCGATAGGGCCCTGCCTCGCCACCCGGTTGTACCTTCACATGCTCTAGAGCATGGAAGCCATATCCCGTCCAGTCGGGAAAAGTCCTCGGGAAAGTCCATTGCCCCCTTTTCACGAACTTGAAAGAAATTGGGGAAATAGAGGCGCCGATTTAGCCAAAATTGCAGATACTGCTTCGCTCCAGTCTAGGGTAACACTAGTACTTCCGCCTAAAAGGCCGGTTTAGACGTTGCACGAACAGTGGGGACGGAGTTGGAAAGATCGACATATCCACCACCTTAGGGTCAGATTGGCCTCGCACTAAGAGACACTAAAGCACATCCCTACGTAAATGTTTTCCGATCGAATCTGAGGCTGAGTAGAGTACGGATAGTCTCGTCCGAATTATTCGGTCCTTGCAATTCTTTCTCAACAAGGCAGGTAAGGGTATCGGGTTTATGCGCAACCCCATCCCATATTCCAGTGAACTTTGGTGGAGTCGGGGAGTCATCGGCGGCTAACTATCGCATTGCATGCCTCTGTAAACGCTGTGCATGCCTGTATGTATGCAGTGCAATGCTTTGCTTTGCTTGAATCAGGGTATATGTGCCCGTTCCGCTGATCTCCGCTGCTCTGATCGATGTGATGTGGTGTGGTGTGATCTGATCTGATCCGATCTGATCTCAAAATACGGCCTCGGGCTTGACCAATCTCTGACAAAGGTAGAACATGACGCCAGTAGAGCCCGACGCATTGGATCTGATCCCTGTCTGACCAACCGGGTACACCGCTCGACTATGTATCCTGAAAGCCTGATAGGGTACCTTTCGCAGAGGTCATGGGTAAAGACAGTAACAGGGTCCATCCCGAGGACTGAGATCATACTGTTTCCTCGCTCGGGGGTAGGAATAGGAAACCTACACGAGGAGTGCCGGATCGGCAGGATCGACAGTGCATCTTGCTTGGAACGGCACTTCGTTCCTGGGGTATTTAACTGCGAGACATGATGTGGATTGTGATGCGCGAGGATCTCCGTTCGATCAGATCTGGAGTTGAGTTTTGAGCTTGAGTTGAGTTGAGTTTGTTTCGCGGGTGATCTGCATCTGAGACGGTTGTGTTGGGAAGGAGGGGCGAATGGAAAGGTTCAAGTCGTCACTTCAAGTTCCAACCTCGGCATTGGCATTGGCATTCTCTATGGCTGGCAGCGAGACTCGGGAGTTGAACATGACAGCGGCATCTGGGGGTGGCATTGGTGGCATTGATTGGATTCAAGTCCCACTGGCGTACTTCTAAAGGATTCATACTACTAGTCTGCTTCAATTCCAAAGGGGACAAATAGGCTGAATTTGTATCGCATATGCGCAGATCTTTATAAACAAGCATGAAGAGGGGACGCTAAGTTTTCAATCAAGAGAACAGACATCAGAGCAGAGACGAGCAGAGTAGAGTAGTTTAGTTCAGGGTGGTGTAGGGCAGCAAAGTGTGATCCGATCTCGAGGTCCATGCGACCCCGATCGGCCGGGCGGCTTTGCATAGCCTCAGCCTGGCATCAGACCATTACTCGTAGCCTGGGTGACCCTTGGACCCAATCCCTCGGGAACGCGTGTCAACAAAGTGAGCACCTTCACTTCTCTCCGTCATTTCTCCGCGGGCCTCCTAGTTCACGCCAAGGGCCGGTACCATCCCCTGTTCCTCCCGAGCCTCACCTCCAACCTTGTAGGCGACCTTGAACCGAATTTTCACCGAGTTACCCTTGCCCGAGTCAACTCCGTCCAAAACCATCTCCTGGGATACACCTTGCTGTTGCTGTGGCGCAATGTCTCGGCCAGTCTGTGGCTTGAGGTGAAGGGTATAGGCCTGTTTATTGTTTGTTAGTGCCAGAAAAGACTCATAGAACGAGGAGTGGCTTACCTTTTCCACGGCAACCTGGAAATGAAGATCTCCAATAGGCTGGCTGTTAGGGTTGGAGAAGAGGGCTTTGACGAAGATCTGGCGAGGGTAGGCCGGCACTCGCTGGACGAGGAAGTCAACACGAAGTTGGGTGCTCAACACTTGTACTTGGTTCTTGGTTGGTAAGACGTTGCTGGTGGGTAGTGAAGATGCAAAGTCCCATTCATCATCCTCAGCGGCGGGCGCTGGTGCCTGTGGAGGCGATGTTGTACCGCCGGCCAAGTCTAGCAAGGACGACGATACAGGGGACTGGCTTTGGACAGGCGGTTGGAATGCACCACTGGTCGGGCGAGGACTAGCAGACATCAACGATGCAAAGGGATCGGCAGCTTGGGGCGGGGTGGCTGTCTGTCGAACCTGTGGTGATGGCCCCGGGGCCGGCGTAGAAGACTGGGAAGCAGGCCGTGAAGAGTTCAAGGATGCAAGGATATCATAGTTAGGCTTGAATCCAGCAGGTGCCTGCGGGGGAGGTGTTGGCGATGCGGCCTGGGGAGATGGGCCAGCTGACATTTGGGGAAATCCCACTGCTTTACATTAGTCTTTGATGCCGGGTGACCTCTCCCATAGAGATTCGTGACTTACCAGGGCCTCCCAAAGAAATACCTCCACCAGCAACAGGGCCCTGTTCTCCCAGGGACAGTCCAAGCAAATCATTCTCCAGCGCGCTGCCACCGCTCTGGGACGGTCCAGCAGCAGCGCCATTAGTGGGCTCAGGTACGGGCTCAGGGTCGAAATCGATCAGCGAGAGCTCATTGTTGGCATTCTTCGAAACACCAGTAGTGGTACCGAGAGTACCCTTGGGAATCTTTGACGCCGCATCCAGGTCACCCTTCTTGACCAACTTATATCGCTCAATAGTACGGTGTATGCTGTCGTTGATTTCGAGCAGTTTATGAACGGCTTCAGGGTCGTCCGATTCCTCTTCGCACATTTTCTGGATCTTAGGGTGTGCACTTTGAAGCGCATTTGCAAGCTCCTGGTAAACAACTTAGTCAGTAAACAGGCCAATCCCCACAGTTTTTGTTTCAATACCAACCTCAAATACATCACCTTCAGGTGGCCCTTCCCCAGATTGTTGGCTTTGCAGCATTTCCTCGAGAATTTTAGCCTTCTGTTGCACTCTTGACACTTCTTCGGCTGCCTTCGCGCGGTAGTCCGTTTTGTGTCGGTTGTCGAATCCCGCCATGACCTTCATCAACCGGTTGGCTTCTTGCAGGTCCGCCGGGGTTCCCCTTCGAATAAGCTCCTGAAGCTTCGCGGACTGTGCTTCCTTCTCTTCCTCTTCCATCTCGTCGGCGGATCGAAGATTCTGACCCAGTTGTTAGCAGCAATCAAACAGGCGACATAGAATAAACACATACGTCACTCGGGTTCAAGACCGCCGCATCTTCACGGCGAACCTCTGGGAATGCGTAACCCTTGTAGAGAAGCAGTCGATGCATATCCCTGATAAATCCTAGGTCCTCCTTATAGCGCGATGTTTGGCATATAGTCTGGCGCCATTCCTCAATCGACTCCAAGATGCGATGCTGGACCCGCGAGGGCCGCATAGGTGGTCGCTCAGGGAATCTCCGAACCAATTCATTGAGGAACTCTTTTGTACTGATCTGGAGGTGGAAGGGGTATCCGCAGTTCTTCACACATATGTCTAGAAGCTAATTGAAGCCAATGTCAGCCATGCCCGCGCCAGCTGTCATCTCTCGGTTCGTAGTCACATACCGCCAACGCCAGCAACGCGACATTCTGGTTCCGGTTATTGATAAGGTGAACGATATCGACGGCGGATTCGCGAGGGCTGATAGAAGAGGTAATTAGCATTGCGCGACCTGGGCGATGGCCCCGGGGGCTGCCTGACGGAGGGGTACTGACGCATTGCCTTTCTTGGAGTTGATCAGATCCGCAACTTCCAGGTTCAGGGCGAGGTTGGGCTCATAATTTTGCGGGTCGCAGGCATTACCTATAGTCAATAATATATTAACAGTCTGCTCATATTTGGTCTGAGCAACCAATGATCCAGTGGCTCAACTCACGGATTGCCCGCTGCAGTGGTGATAACCCCGGCTCAGCATAGACACCGAAACGGTCTCTCGCCGCCATACGTGCGGATGCAGCCTCCAGGGTGACGGTGGGGGAGTGAATTAAGGAAATCAAGGGGGAGTATATGAGAAGAGAGAAGGACCAAGAGGTGGTTGTGTGGAGGATTCGATGTGGGAAGAAACGGCTGCCCCCAACCTTGGCGGAGTTGTAGATGGAAGAGAGACGAGCGGGCGGAGCAACTTGCACGTGTGGCGCTTGTGCTTGTGCTTCAACGGGATTTTTTTCCCTTTCTCCAACTCAACCCCGCAAAGCTCCTAACGTTCTTCTTTTCTACGCATTAAAGGCCTTGCCCTTTGAATTCAAAATGGTTCGCCATAAAAAAGAAAACTTTTCGAGAGGTGGCAAGAAGTTCTCCAACCCCCGCTCTCGACCGGTGCCCCGCGGTGATGATGGTGAGGAGGGTGCAGTCTCGGCGCGACCTGAGTTCAAAGCTGCATGCTGGGATATGGGACACTGCGATCCCAAGCGATGCTCGGGGAAACGTTTGATGAAGCTGGGATTGATGCGCGATCTACACATTGGCCAGCGCCACCCCGGTGTGATTGTTTCGTATGTCCACCAGCTCGCGCACGATTATTTGGCGCAATGCATTCGCTAATACACTAGTATTTAGACCCAATGCGAAAAAGATTATCTCTCCGGCTGATCGAGAGCTCATGGAGCAACATGGTGCTGCGGTAGTGGAGTGCTCGTGGGTTCGAGTCAAGGAAGTCCCTTGGTCGCGCATTGGCGGCAAATGCGAAAGACTGCGTATGTGATCTTGATGTACATGACTGGATGACCATATCACTTACATATCTATGGGGTGTCTACAGTACCCTATCTGATCGCAGCCAACACTGTCAACTACGGAAAGCCATGGAGATTGAACTGCGTCGAAGCGCTCGCCGCCTGTTTCTTCATTTGCGGTCACGAAGAGTGGGCGCAGCAGGTCCTCAAACCCTTCCGATATGGCGAGGCCTTTCTGGAGATCAATTCCGAACTTTTGAAACGCTATGCCGCATGCAGCTCGGAAGAAGACGTGAAGAGGACTGAGGAGGAATGGCTAGCCAAGATCGAACAAGAATACGAAGACAGCCGTGCCGAAGGTACCAACGATATCTGGACCACTGGAAATACCAACCGACTACCGGCCAGACATGGCTCCGACGACGAAGATGATGATGATAGTGAAGATGGAAGCGAAGAGGAAAACGAAAGCGAAGAGGAACAGGAAGACAAAGACCCGTTCGCAATCTCCGACGATTCTGAAGAAGAGGATCAGATGGCCGAAATCCGACAAAAGATTCTCAACTCCAAGTCGTTCCAGAACCCCTCCGCATCTGATAAGCCACAACCCGAAAAGATTGCGGCTCCGGAAAAGCCTTTGTATGTGGATTCTGATGCAGAGTCTGGTTCGGCCGGAAGCGAGGACGAAGACTTTGACAATATCATTAACGCGACCACAGTGACTGATCGCACCGGTATCAAGGAGATCCAGCGTCGACGGGGACAAGAAACAGTCAGCGCCTCATTCTCACGGGCTGAAATCTCGGCACCCAAGAGATGGTGATGGCAAGGAGGTATAATGAAATCACTCGACATTGTTTTACTTTGAGCACAGCCTCTTCTTCTCGGGGTGTGCTATCTCAACTTCAGACCCAGGTTTATATGCAATATATACACTCACAGAGCCACTAGTGCTTTTCACGAGACGAGGAAGAACAATGCCAACTCCTACCATCATGAAATATGAAAATTGATGCGTTTATGAACACTCGACGGGCAAGGCGTTATGATATATTTGATCTATCATCCAGAGAGAAATGCTTCAGGACGGGACAAAATCGGTTCATGAACAGGCATTTCCATGGAGAACTCAATAAAAAACTTTTTGATCAATCGCCTTCTTATCTTGCGGCAAAATAGATCTTACAATTGGAGCAGTCTGAACTCTCCGTTTTCGTTAAATCATTGCGCAAATCTGCTTTCCTTTCCACCCAGCTGATACTTTGGTATCTTTGACACCTAGTGCAATCCACTCCTCGATGTCTTGGCCATGCATGCGTCAGGGAATGTGCCGTCGTGTTGCAAATAAGTGGGTTCGCATCGTTGTAGCTAGGCAGTGCGATTGGCCGCCGATGTTGGGCTTCATTTATGAGTGGGTATCTGCCCCGGCGTCTGGGTCTGAGGGGAATTGTTGGGATGATTGTCGAAGGCATAGTGGGTTTGCCTATACGAGTAATGGCTTTTCAAATTCAGAATTTGAAGTGAAGTGAGACCCTTCTTCGAGAACAGCCGGCGTCAAAGAAAGGCTTTTTACGCTGTAGTAGAGCGGCAAATGGCAGATAGAAGGCAAATGAGCGAAAGAAGAAAATGCAAGACTACATATAGCATTCTAGTTCTCATTATCAGTTAAAGGGATAGAGACTATTGCCACGGTGCGTCATTAAGGTGGTGGTTGGTATGTAGTTCCTTACGAACCGGAGATGCAAGGGTGGCACCAGTTGAGTGGCTAGGGTTGAGTTGCCGCAAGGTAAGTAGCAAGCCACAAATGTTCCAGTATAAAACCCTTAGTTCTCAGATTTGCTATCCACAATGTTTCAGCTTGTTCTGAGTGCATGTGGTCCGTGATAGTTATTCCGTACGGAGTACATCGAACCCATTTGTCAAAAAAGGGGGTTTTATCCACCACGTCTACTCCATACTGGCTATAGCCATATGCGATCAAACTAGACGATTCACAACCTTGACAGCTAACGATTTGTTAAACACTTTCCCTCCAAGGCTATGGCGTGGTAAGTAATTGACAGAACTCTCCGAGTCGGTGGAGCTTCCTTCCCAGACAAGTTCAAATCTCGGCATAAGTGCAATGCTCACTATCAATGACGCAAATATAGACATCAACCTATGACTCAATTAGGCAAACAAATATATGGAAGCTCTGGACCAGCCCGTATACTCGTATTGAATACCTAGGTACTACTGTAGAAACTTAGCCAGTTGGGCAAAACCTCGGGTCCGCTACGGGGAAGAGAAGAACCTTCCGTGCCTTGGCAGGCCGACTATACCGATAGTATGTAATCCCGACGGCCCCGCCCGAGTGAACCGATATATTCAAGTTGGACAAATCATGAGGGCCATAAAACGAAGCGTTTGTGGGTCTTGCGGATGTATCAACACTGCCAGAATGCGTAGTAATCGGAATAGCAATCGGCATAAAGGCTTGGCACCTGCACCGCTGCGGTAGAAGTGGTCCTCAGGAACATGATTTGATCAATTATAGATCAGATATTGCACGCGCGTAAGTAATCTCCAGCATAAGGTTCCTTGGAGGCGTGCAGATCATCCTTTGTGGACGCGTAGGATGGCTCCAATTGCGAATTCGGTTGCATTCCATGTCGGCGGAATAACCACAATCAATATTATAAAAGTCACCTTACCCCGAGCTTCAATGTTATTTCTATTCAATTCATCTTAAATCCAAAAGCTAAGACTGTATTATAAGTTGCCTTTGCCTTTTTGTCTGTTTGTTTCTTTTCATTTCCGCTATGCATATGAACTTCCTTCTATTGGCCAGTACGGCAATGACTGTGCTGGCCCATCCTGGTCATCATGAGCCTGAATCACGCGCTACAATTCAGCGTCGAAGCCATCTTGGGAGGCGCTGCGCAGATCATGTTGCCACATTTAACAAGCGTCGCATAAATAAACGCTCACTGACCAAACGCTGGGAGGGAAACCACAACACCACTTTCGAGATCCAGACCGAAGCTCCGTACTATGAGAACATTCAGAATGATACCTGCGTTCTCGCCCCAGAAGTGACTCGTGGACCTTACGTCTGGCCTCGATCTCAGACTTTGCGCCAAGATATGACAGAAGATCAGATCGGGATCCCACTGTGGCTCGACATTGGTGTTTTGGATATGAACACCTGCGAACCGCTTCCCAATGCGCTGGTTGATTTCTGGCACTGCAATGCCACTGGATCTTATTCTTCCTTCACTGGCCTGTCGCCTAATACCCCCTTCGAGGAGCTTCTCTCGAGCATGGATATTTCCGACTTTGAAACCGGCGTCACGGATCTGCACACCGACGACTCAACCTGGTTGCGTGGAATGTGGCCTACAGATGCGCATGGCATGATGGAGATGAAGACCATATTCCCCGGTAAGGATTAAATCCGCGTTGCCCTATAGGTGTATAGGAGTCAATCACTGATACATTTGTTAGGTTTCTATGTCGAACGCGCTATCCACATTCACGCCCAAGTCCATACCGATTGGACGACTCGAGAGAACGGCACTATTGTCGCAAGCAACACCGTCAGCACTGGTCAGCTATACTTCGCAGAGGAGCTTGAGGAGAAAATTATGGCATTGGAGCCTTATGTCTCCCACACCCAGATCAACCGCACCACCAATGCCAAGGATACCCTTATCTCTGGCAGCTTCGAGGATGGATATAGCCCTATTATATCTGTTGTCCCTGCCGACGGTAAGGATATCAAGAATGGTATGATCGGTTACATCACCATCGGTGTCGATACTTCTGCTATCGAAAACTTCAAGAAATAAAGGTCTTGACTTCAACGAGCCGATGTTGAGGTTGACGGTAGATTTCTAACTGTCAAGTTGTGTACACTCGTGACCTGTATAGATTTCTTTTAGACTAGACTACAATAAACAATGCAGCGATGCCTATGACGCATTTCTCGCTTCCAATTTAGTGACAAACAATTCAATTATGTAAAAGAACAGAATAATATCTACAGTGAGTAGCTCAGGCATTTAAAAGTCCTGATCTTCCATCCCAAGCCCATCAACAAAGTCATAAAGCTCGCTGGGGTCTTCAAAAACCGTCCATACATCACTCGGAACATCCTTGAAAGCCTCCTCAAACCTCTCGGGTTTGTTCTTCTCCTCCATATTGGAAACATTTGTAACCTTTCGGATTGCAATCGCATGGATCCACCCGGGATAGCGTTGGTAGATTTCCGCATAAGCCTCTGGATCCTTCTGGGTCGAATCGCCAATGCAAAGCACGCGACGAAGCGGGAACCACCGATGAATCTTCTCCATCCGATCAACCTTGTACTCTTGCGTTTTCTCGGTAAAGGACCTGATGAATCCGCCAACGTCCATCCACGAGTAGTCTCGCAGAATAAGCGTACCAAGCGCATAATGCTCATGGAGGAACGAGTGCAGGAATGGGTAGAGATTGTAAGGCGATGCGGACAGGTAGAACCAAGCCGGATTCAACTCGGCTTGCACGTGTCGATAGAACTCCGGCATACCGGCGATAGGTAGAGGCTCCTCGGCGAAGGTGGTTCGCAGAATTCCTGTCGTCTCCATCGTCATGGTACGTTTGATTGTGTCATCAATGTCCGAGATCACCATCCAGCCCTCCGGGCAGCGAATCTAGTCTCTGCTTTGGCAGCAGGGAGCTTGAAGCCATGGATATGTGGGGAAATAACCGTGCCATCCTGGACGCCACCTGCGCCTAGGTCAATAATCTGGCTGATGATGCCATTTCTATCGGAAGGGCCGATCGGGTGCGTTTGCAGTGCGCCATTCACTTTAGCTTCCACGGTCAGGGTTTTCGCTGGTGAGACCTGGTCGAGGAAGGGCTGCACGCGCTGCTTGATACGCTCGTGCGCTTCCTTGTCGCGGCCCATCTCACCATCCAAACCGATATGATCGGCGATAGCCGCGATCCACTTGCCGGCATCCTTGCGACCATCCTTCTCGAAGATGCAGGCGACGACCTCAGCTTGCCATGATGAAGATGGGGAGTTATCGCCCTCTACGACGGGTTGGTAGGCCGTGTTGTCGTATAACCACACGGTGTGTTGATGTGGGTCCGCAGCTTTCGCGAGGGGATTCTTCGAGCCCAGAAATGAGGAAAAGAAATTCAAAAAAGCCGATCCTCGACGCTCAAGGTGAGGCGTGGGTTCAGCTCCATCACTCTCGTGTTTGGAGTCTGGGGCCGGAGACCCTTGGTCGTGGGCCATGGTCGCGTTGTCCAGCCCCGTGTGTGGTCCAAACCGGGTAAAGATGAAAGTTGGATCAGGATGAATGGAGTGAATTTGATTCTTGAATACCTCAAAGTGTAAAAGCCAGACTCGGGAAGCTTGCAAGTGCCGAAAGTATCGAGAGTGCTGTGCACATGGGCGAAGGGCATGGGCCATCAGGGGAAACGGCGCTGATCATATAGCGCGGACGATCTGCTCTTAGCGGCGACGGGCTCCAATCCTCCCCTCCTCATCTGATCGCAGTTCCCCCCGTGTTGGGGCTGTGAACAGGCGCTCCTCATGCCCATGCCCCATGCCCCGGTGACTGGTGACTGATGATCATCATTTAGTCAAGTCAGACGAATCGCGCAAGAAACCTCTTTCTAGGTTCAGCCCGTACCCTGCAGGGGCCGAGCGGAAGTGGTCAACTACATCCAAGTTGAGAAGAGAAGATCCGATCGTTCTTCAACCTGGGTAAAAATGATTTCCCAGTAGAAATCTGCTAGGTTAGAAGCCAATATATGGTGTCAAGGTCAAGGCGCAATGCAGGGCTGTGTCATCTCGAAGAAAGGTACAAAATGCAGGGACCCTTTCGAGGTCACTTTACTCTCGCCACCGATCGATCACTAACCATCGAACCCAACTGCTAAGAACTATATCAGCAATGAACTGTCGTCTTAAACACCGCATCACCCCCTCCTTGACGTCTTGCCGAGATATGCCAAGTACATCCATCCTCTTTACTCTTCGCAATTTCTTGTCGCTTCCTCACCGCCAAGACACCCCAGGAAAGCCACATGACGGCAGTCAGACGCTCGTTATGCTGGGACACGAACCGGAGAATTGGCTACTTGATGGTTCTTAGTTTGTAAATGTAAACTGACAGTTTAGTAGATGCTGATCTCACCTGACTTGCTCAGTTCACACGCGTGCTGGTGATGTGGCCGAGTCGAGCTATGTCCGCCATAATCTACTATCCAACAATCACAGTTCTATTCAAACCTCTACTAGTGCCTTCAATGACTAATTGAACATCAAGACATTTAATAAATATTTTCTGCCTGTTATTCCTGATAATACTAGCCAATCATTTAATTCAATCGTTGCTATTGAGAACTATGTTTCACACCAACCGTGTCATACTGACCTAGGGGTCTCCCTACGTCAACATGAACAAATGCGCCGGCATCAAGTTCCTAAAGTATGGCATTAAGGGAAGACAAGGGGGTAGGTACACCCTCCCTTTCTGCAGATAATACCAAATGCAATCCCCCCCCCCCCCCCAAAAGGTTCCCCGCCACTTTGACAACAACCAACCACACAAGATGTATACATTTGAGACTCCCATGAGGCCCACGGAGCCGTTCTCTCCACTGCATACCCGAAGAGCAAGGTCTTTCTCCAGACCACTGGAAGATAACGTTGTCGAGCAGCAGCAGCCCACTTTCTCACGTTTGTCTCCAGCCATGGAAGAAGAAGAGAACAGGCCGAGGGACTCTGTGGGGGATGATGATGAAACACCCATAGACCCTTCCTCTTCAACGCTCGAAACATCCAGAGAGCATTCGCAAGATGAAATCGACAGGCCGGTATCATCAAGGCCATTCCCAGCGAGACTAAGCGAGCAAAGGTCCCCGGGGCCTTTCTCTCCAGGGGGAATGGGCAGCCACCCCGCAGCGATGGGTCGACCAACGCCATCAAGAGAATACCCGACAATACTCAATAATAGAAAGTCACTGGCACCTGTCTCGCCAGGCAAGAGCAGTCAACCAGCAGCAGAACAATTCTCTCCAGGATCAGGAGAGCAGACCTGGACAACCGCTCGCCCATTCTCTCCAGCGAGAAAGAGTAGACCGAGCCCAAAACCACTTTCTCCGCGAATGGGCGAAGATAATCCGCGCAGCCCACAGGAAGAATCGCCTGGGGTGGAAGATAAAGTACCTACAGATGCGTTGTCTCCAAGAGAAACTGAAAATCCGACCGCTTCACGTTTCTCCCCAGTAGTGGAGGATCTAGAGCCCAAGCCAGCAAGGCCTTCTTACCTCGGATCAATGGGCCAACCAGATCCTCAAAAGCCGCTCTCCGCAAACAAAGATGAAGAAAGCTGGGTTCCCGCCGAGATGCGGGCACTATATTACTCCGTCGCTCCAGCCGTCAACGCAATCCCAAATGGCCTTCCACAGGGTGTTGATACCTCCGACGTTGATATTCAAGAAACGGCAATGCCAACACCGCATACAGAGCTAGTCCTCGACACGGGATTTCCAACCCCACAGCCCTCGCCGAACCAGTATCTGCTCAAAGTCCAAACGGCAGCGTTCTGTCAAGACGAGCTGCGTCTCGCATCGGAGTTGAATCCAACAAAGACGACTCCACAGATCCCGCTCCATAGTCTCTGTGGGACTGTCGTCAGTACCCCGGCGCAGGATCATGGCCGGCCGTTTGGTCCGAGATTTAAGATTGGCGACGTGGTCTTCGGCGTCCTTAGTTACACACGTGATGGGGGTGCGGCGGATTATGTCGTTGCAACAGAACGCGAATTGACTCTCAAGCCGAAGAGTATCACTGCAACTGAAGCCGCGGCTTTAGCATTGCCGGCTTTAACGGCGTGGCAAGCGCTTTTTCGTTACGCGGGACTTGATCCCGACGACCCTCACAATTATTGGAAGGGCATGTCCAGTGGATACAGTAGCGGAACTGGGAGTGGGAGCGGTCTTGGACTTGGCTCTAGAAAGAGTGAAGCTAGCAGCGGCAAAGGGAGTGGGAGTGGGAGTGGCAGTGGAAGTGGCAGTGGGAGTAGTGGACGCAGTAGCGGCAAAGGGTATGGATATGGTTGGCGGAAGAAAAGCATCGACTTTATCAACCTGCATGCTTTGAACAGAAACAAAACTGAAACTGGGAATGGGTCCATTGGGGGCATCAGCAGGAGTTCTACAAAGGCGAGCGGAAGCGGAAGTGGAAACAGTTCAAATTGGCGGAAGAAGAGCATTGATTTCATCCAAGGTCATACATTCAACAATGGGGCCGGGTTCAAGAAGAAGAAGGATACAACTCTGCGTGTGCTGGTCACCAACGCGCGGGATAGTGAAGTCGGCCGCATCGCCGTACAGCTACTTCGAGCAGAGAAACTCTTTGCCTCTGATACGCGGCCATGGATCTGTGTAACTTGTACCCTTGCTGAAGAGGACATCATCCGTCAGGGCTGGGATGTTGATGAAGTCCTTGTCATTCCACATCTTCCTACTCACGAGGAATGCGACATTGGTGCTATGTTTCGGGCCCGCCGATTGCAACCTGTGGACATTGTGCTGGACTGTACTGGTGATGAAGTCTTTCAAGAAGCACATTCACCAGCTGTGGTTAAGGATCACGGCGCCGTTCTGACAGCGGTGGATCCACGGCCAGCAAAACAGCAGGCCCCTGTGGACGGTCAAGATGCTCTTCGGCGAAGGAAGCGCGGACTTCGAAGTCAGTTTGTTCCAGTTAATCCTGATTCTGCAGCTTTGGGGCGTATGGTGCAATTAGTGGATGATAATACGGTTCGGGGCAATGAAGAACAGGTCATTGATCTTGTGCATGCCAGTAAGCTTCTAGAAGGGAGGGCATCGGCTTCTGCTGGGAGTCGACGGGGAGCGATGATGGTTGTGAGGGTTAATTAATTGCAGTGATAAAATAGATCTTTCATGCCCCAATCGGAAATTCGTGTTGTGACTGTCATTGGACACATTTTGTTCGGCTTCGTTCATAGAAGCTTGCATAATGAAAGGCAATAAACTGTACTAGTACCAGTATTCTGTCTGGGAGTGAATATAAAAGCACGGGCCATCACACCGAAAATGTTTGTGCGCGGGCGGTGAAAAGCGAGTGGAGATCTGCCAAGATTTCCTCACCCCCAAATTTTTCGCCGACTTCTGCCTCTGTATCCAAACGGCCAATACCCAGGCAGTATGGATGATATTGAGGTACTTGTGCAAGCATCATATTCTCGGCTACCGTACTGACTTGACCTAGGATCGGCTGCGCAGCCATGCGCAAGCATTCGATGGGCTGCTGTCCTTAATCCCCGCCAAATACTACTATGGTGATGAGAATACCGTACGTCCGCTCTCCTGCTCTTTTGTCCAAGTTTTCCTCTTGGATACTAGATTCTCTACTTTTATATCACCCTTTACTCTTGAGAGAGCTCTCGGCTAACTGCCGTGTGAATTTTCAGGACGACCAATGGCAACGGAAAAAGCAGACGAAAGAACAAGCCCGCGAGGCTAAGCGGGCAAAGCTTGACCCCGAGGCCGCCGACAAGACCGCCAAGGAGATCATGGATGAGAATGCTCGCAAGCGCAAGCGTGAGGATGGTACTCTGCAGTCCGATGAGTCTGATGGAGAACTGGGATCTGAAAATCCCAAGGAGGGGTTGAAGCGAGGCGATGCCAAGTCCAAGAAGCAAAAGCCGACAGAAAAGTCCGCTGCTGCCAAGTCAGAAGAGGCTGAGACCCGCAAGAAGCAAAAGGAAGAGAAGAAGGAGAAAAAGAAGACTGCCCAAAAGGAAAAGAAAAAGGCCAAGGAAACTGCCAGGAAAGATAAGCAGAAGCCAGAGGAAAAGTCGGCAGAGAGCAAGACCGATTCTTCAGAGAAGTCTTCTTCAAACTCCAACGGTGTTGCCGAGAAACCCGAGGAGTCTGATAATGAAGACGACGACAATGACGACGACATCGATGAGGGCGTCGCAGAGCCGGGTTTCTCAGTCGATTTCCACGAGGAACCCGAAGACCCTTCCTCTGCCTCCTCCACCCGCAACTCCCCCGATGCCTCCAATCCTCAGTCCGGTAGCTCCTCCATCTCCTCTATTGTTCCTCCCTCCGCCGACACAGATGCCAAATCATCTGAACCCAAGGCCCTCAAGGCCACACCAGAAGATCTCAAGCAACGCCTGCAAAAGCGTCTTGATGAACTGCGGGCCAAGCGCCAAGCGGATGGCCTCAACGGCAAGCCTGCACGCAACCGCCAAGAACTCATCGAGGCTCGACGCCAAAAGGCCGAGCAGCGCAAAGCACACAAGAAGGAGTTGCGACAAAAGGCCAAGGAAGAAGATCAGCTGAAGAAGGACGAGGCCATGGCCCGTCGTTTCTCACCCGGTGGCTCTGGATCCCTCCTAGCTTCTCCCCGCTCCCCTGCAGAGTCTGTCGGATCTCCCAGCAACAACTTCTCTTTCGGCCGTGTCATCTTCGCCGATGGTCAGCATACCGATGCTTCACTGTCAAACGCACGTGAGGGGCACAAGTCCCGTGGCCCCACCGATGCCGCCGCCCAGCTCAAGATGGCCGAGGCTAAGAAGGCTCGTCTCGAGGGCATGACCCCAGAGCAACGTGCCGAGCTTGAGGAGAAGGACAGCTGGCTGAACGCTAAGAAGCGCGCCCACGGTGAGCGCGTCCGCGATGACACCTCTCTTCTCAAGAAGGCGCTCAAGCGTAAGGAGACCGCCAAGAAGAAGTCCGAGCGTGAATGGAAGGAACGTCTCGACACCGTATCCCGCTCGAAGGAGCAGCGTCAAACCAAGCGCGAGGAGAATCTCCGCAAGCGCAAAGAAGAGAAGAACAACAAGGGCAACAAGAGCAAGAGTAAGAGCAAGAAGCCCGCTGCTGGCAAGAAGAAGGCCCGTCCGGGTTTTGAGGGAAGCTTCAAGACCAACGGAGGTGGTAAGAAGAAATAAGCTCGAGTAGCCTAAGCTCCAGCTTTTTTTTCCCTCTTCTCTTTCTTCCTTTCTCTCTTTTCTTCTCCTGTGCCTATTTTCTTTTTCTACCATTCCTTGTGCTTTCCTTTCCATTTTTCATATGGCCCGATCCATGCCTATACCCAAGGGCCTCTTGGATTCGGGAAACCCCCCTTTCTCTCTCAAGAGCTGGAACGCACGAAGTACCTCAAAAAAGAAAAGTGTTTTAAGACATCGACTGGGAAATATCCATCCGGGGATTACGGAGTTTGGTGTTCGCGCTGTTTCAGCGGCATGAGTTGTCCGTTATGTCTTGTATGTATGTCAGCATGGGTAGCGATTTATCTTCATTCTGTGAATACAACGTCATTCTGCCTGAATTGTATGCATATATCCTTCGAAGCTATGGTAGAATTGACGTCCAGAGTTGTAAGGCTAGTAATCCGACTCGAGTATGCCTAGTAGGTGCTTACTCGAAGTCCTGGTAGTGTTGCCAGCATTACTAAGAATCATGCTGTGTTGGGTTGAACTTTGAAATAGAAATCATCTTACTAGAGGCCGCTATCATGGATATAGCTGCCTTCCAAGCTTGAAGGCCTACAACTAGTAGTACCGAACTTGAAGATGGAAAGTCAACAACAAAGACAACAAAGACAATCACAAATGTAAATATTGTGGTATTGGTTTAACTCTTAATGGAACAGAAGAACCTGCTAGATTCCGTAACATAGGAAATAGGTGAATAACGAACAAAGGAGCCGGGTTTCTAAACCCAAGACTTCCTTTGGGAATCGACTAGTACAGAGTTGATAGAAAAAGGTCGAAGGGTGATTTATGTACAAAGTGTGAGGGGGAGAAGGCAGAACTGGCGAGAATCCCAAGCCCTTCCTGGGTGTTTCCTTTTTATGCACGCCCGTAGGCGAGTCTGGGAGAGGTCTGTGTCTCCATCACTGGACCCAACAGTTCATTCTCATTTTGCTGGGAAGTGTGCCAGAAGACAGCACATCGAAGACGAAAGGAGCGCGTTTATCGGTAGGGAGCATCAGCACGGGCAGCGGCAGCAATCTCGGGCTCCCACTTGTCACCGTTGGCGAGCAGCTTCTCCTTGTTGTAGAGCAGCTCCTCGCGGGTCTCGGTGGCGTACTCGGCGTTGGAGGCTAGAAAATGGGTGATTGGTTAGACTTATCTGATAGGGGATCATGGGCTTGAAGGCTAGGTGCTTACTCTCAACAATGGCGTCCACAGGGCAGGACTCTTGGCAGTAGCCACAGTAGATGCACTTGGTCATATCGATATCGTAACGGGTCGTCCGGCGGCTTCCATCCACACGCTCTTCCGCCTCAATGGTAATGGCCTGGGCCGGGCAGATGGCCTCGCAAAGCTTGCAGGCAATGCAGCGCTCTTCACCGGTGGGATAACGACGCAGAGCGTGCTCTCCACGGAAACGGGGGAGATGGGACCCTTCTCGAAGGGGTACAGGATAGTGTAACTATTATGCGTAAAAGGGGTTTGTTAGGACATCTGAAAGTAATTGAGGCCTGGTATCCCGAATTGGGGGAAACCCGACTCGTATATTGGGATATTGAAGGGTGGTACTCACGGTGGGCGGAAAAACTGCTCGATGACGACGTACATGCCGCGGAACATCTCCATGAGCAAGAAGTACTCGGAGGCACGGTTCATAGCACTCTTTCCATCATTCTCCCAGGTCTTTTGGGCGGGCAGGCGGAAGCCAGGTTGAGGGGGACCGGCGGGTGTAGCTGCGCGAATGGTCGAGGAAGAGAAGTTTGCGGTCGAACCCAGCGGCATGAAGGGGGAGCGACGAGAGGCAACCAGCCTGGCGATCTGGCGGGTGGATGCCATGGTGGCAGGTGAGGGGGAGGAGAGGAGAGAAGTCGAGGTGGTGGGGAGGGGACAATTGGGTCAGATTGGGGAAGAGGGAGGAGGAGTCGCACTGAGGTTCGTTGGCGTTGCAGGTTTGGGCTTAGGTCATTCCTTTCTGCCGTTTGCTGATTGGCGGGCGGCAGGATTTTGCGTGGGTGCAGCACTTCCGACCTTCTTCCCTTTCCCAATCTCTCGATCTTGCTGATTCCTCCACTCCCACTCCTCCCCCTCAAACACCACTTTCTTCTCTTATTCTCCCTTCTTTTGTTCGATTAGCTCCGTGCTATTTCTCAATTCATAATGTTCCGCTCCGCCGTCCTCCGTTCCCTGCGGGCCTCCGCCCCCCGTGTCGCCATCAAGACCCCGGCTCCCTTCCAGATTCGCAGCTCTCCCATCGCTGCTCGTGTCCCTCAATTCACTCCCTGCTTCGTCTCCCAGTCTATCCGCGCCTACTCCGCTCCCGCTGGTCTGAACAAGACCGAGGTTGAGGGTCGGATAGTCAACCTGCTCAAGAACTTCGACAAGGTGCGTCAGAATTCGTGTCCATGTCCGGGTGGATTCGCGTCACCCCGGAAATCCGTCTCAAGGCCCCAATAACTAACTCCATCCTTCATAAATAGGTTTCCGACGCTAGCAAGGTCAGTTTTTGATTCTTTGTGATGACCCGAGGTCCATTCTCGGCCCAAGATCGCAAAGCCGCAAAGCTCCATCAAGGGCCCGCCCTCCGACACCGATCAATTCTACTAACACACTTTTGCTCCATCAGATCAACGGTGTTTCTCACTTCTCTAACGACCTTGGCCTGGACAGCCTGGATACCGTTGAGGTCGTCATGGCCATTGAGGAGGTACGCGCCCATATTGTTTCCCTCGGGAAAGCCTCATCGCAAAAAATCACAAAATATCTAACGACCATATCTACAGGAGTTCAGCCTTGAGATCCCTGACAAGGAGGCCGACCAGATCCACAGTGGTAAGTTGGGTCCGATGCGCGAATGGGATTGTGGTCGTGATAGCTAACATGCATGGATGCGGCAACAGTTGAGAAGGCCGTCGAGTATATCCTGGCCCAGCCCGATGGTATGTTTTACGCTTCCTTTCCATCGAATTTTGTCTGGACTCAATATACTGACAATATCTCTACAGCCCAGTAGATACCTAATTGAAAATCTGGGAATTGGTCTGGTAATCGGATAGAAAAAGAATCGGGATGTCGGCGTGAGTCGGGGTGTTCGCTCCCGGGTGGATTTCCATGACTTCAAGCGCCGCTTTGTATGCTGAATACATGCCAGTGGCTTTTTTTTCTCCTTCTATATCGTGTACATCATCTTGAATGCAGTTTTGAAACATTTATGGACTGCGGGTTTCCGCTTCTCTTGTCTACTATTATTAATTTGCGCCCTGTGGAGATAGTCTACTATCTAACGAATATCTAAAATGGTTGACAGACTGCTACGGTGGTAGTAGTAGTACTCCAGGGCTAGTAGTACCTTAAAGTGTACCTTCAACTTGAAGTTTCTACCTTGGAATGTGTTGCATTATATATCTGAAACTTATACTAGTAGTAGGTATATATATAGCAGTATGCTCACTCACACCACTGGCAGTCGCAATAACAAAGAAAAAAAACTTCAGTTGATTGCCAAATTATCTTCTAAACAGAAGACTAGAAAGAATGATTTCTAACTATAAATTTCTATACTAGTAATAGTACTAGTAGTATATACTACTACTACCCGTGGACCCTACTCGGGCTGTCTTTGTCGTGGGCGCAGCCGAGCCACTCTGGTACCCCCAACTCAAAACTTGAACCACCTCAACTCACCCAAACCCAATCATCCTTCCCTAAACGGACTCGAACCTGGACCTCCTCCGCACCTCGCTCTCCGCTTATCCAATACTATCTACGGTTTATAAGACTGGATTGATCGCTCACCTTTATCTCGGGGCTTTTCAACCCACTCGGTCCTTGGTTTCCCCTGACGCCGAGAGTCCCACTTCCAGAAAGCGGCAGCGGTAGCGGTAGCGCCAGACTTTCGGTCTAAGCGGTATCTCTGACATCTCTCTTGACACGGTCAATTAAACGCCCCCCCTGCGACCGGCACGCAGTTCGGCTTCCAGCGATCAAATCTGCCAGTCTCTCTTCGCCGAGACTCCCCCTCGCCTTCCTCCACCGCCCCTCCCCCCAAAACCCTACACTCATCCTCATGTCAGCCGGGGGCTTGACTCGTCGACGAGGCGGTGGTCGAGCCGGTGGCGCAGATGAACAAGATGACAGTCGAGTGTCGTCGCCTGTGTCAAGGAATGGCTCCGCGATGGACCAACGTGGTCCGGAGACCTCGTTCACTAGTGGAGAGAATGGTCACAAGATCGCATTCGACCCCCGCGACCTCAGCGAAACCGAAGAGCGGAGCAAGCAACCCAAGTTGACCCTAATGGAGGAGGTACTGTTGCTGGGACTTAAGGATAAGCAGGTGAGTCCAGAGGGATGGAATCTTGGAGCGGATTGGCTTTGTCCCATGTTGCCCGATCGGACTTCTGATCGCTAACCTGCGGTCTCATGATAGGGTTACCTGTCCTTCTGGAACGAGAACATTTCCTACGCCCTACGAGGATGCATCGTCATAGAGCTCGCCCTCCGTGGCCGTATAAGCATGCAGAAGGATTCTTCGCGGCGACGCTTTCCCTGGCCGACCGCGTGATCGAGGTTATCGACGACACATTGACCGGGGAAGTCTTGCTGGACGAGGCACTAAAGATGATGAAGTCGAGCGAGAAGATGAGCGTTAACTCGTGGATTGATCTGATGAGCGGTACGTCAGGACCCTCGTAATAGCGATAACGATGTTGTGGAAGGTTCCAAAATGCTGACCCCATATCTCTTTTCACCCCAACAGGCGAGACCTGGAACCTGATGAAGATCGGATACCAATTGAAACAAGTGCGCGAGCGACTGGCCAAGGGCCTTGTGGATAAGGGCATTCTGCGGACTGAGAAACGAAACTTCCTCCTCTTCGATATGGCGACGCACCCCGTGGCCGACGGTGGCGCCAAGGACGACCTGCACCGCCGGGTGCGCAACATCTGCACTAACCGCACGGTTATCATCCCCCCAAACACATGGTTGCCCGAGGATGCTGAGTTCCGCTACCTCCGTACGGTCGTAATGGTCTGCGCCGCGTATGCGGCCAACGTGTTGGAAAATGCTTTGGTTACAATGAGTCACGAGGCGCGGGAGAGAGCATTCGCTCAGGTCGACGAGCTGCTCGCGGAATACTCTCAATATCCGTTCGCACGCAGGGCGGGTGGCTCGCAGGCAATTGGTGCCAACCTGGCCCAGGCCATCAACGACGAAGTGAACCGCAAGGACCGGGAGCTCCAAATGGAGGTATGTTGAACCCCCTCCCATATCGAAACTATGGCCAATCAAATCAAATACTGATAAATACCAGATTGTCGCTGCATGCTTGAGTGTTTTCACCAGACTTGATTCCCTACTCTAAGCGGACGTACCGCGTTGAATCCTAATACATCGTCCTTTCTATTTTCTGCTCTTTCTCTCCATCTCCCCACCCGCCTATACCTTTCTATCCCGTCCCTCTGTGGCACCGCAGCTTGTGCCCTGGCTACTTCGAAGGGAATCGGGATTCTCTTTCTTCTTCTGCTCATTCATGTAGTTGGTCATTATGTGGATTGGAAATTGGGCAGAGCGTCTTGATATCTGAACCGGGTCAAAATTCATTCTTGTATGGGATATTATTTGCCCCTCATGGGTCCTCTTTCCTTGTTAACTTGATTTGTCTGCATGATTTTTTCTCCTCTCTTCTTTTTTATGGTTCTCACTGCTTGTTTGATTGGTTGAAACGAAGGGCCCTGTCGAGTTCTCTACTGGCCTCGAAAAAAAGAGAGAAAAACTAGCCTTCGTCCTCGGGGCTTGAGACCTAACGCTACTGCGGTCAATGAGGACAGTCCCAGTTTTCAGAGAGTGATAGGTTCTGACCGAGTAACTTGACACCGCAAATGCTTTGTGATATAGTTAGTCATAGCGTTTCACTCATGTGACTGTGCTTTGAAAGATTCTTTTATCTAAGAAATGGCCTAGTTCTGTCCATTAGTCTTTTGCGCTCAGTGTTGTCTACTTATTTAGGTAAACCGATACAGGAGCACCTTGCAAGGAAGGTAACGGGATAGCCAGTAGGCCAGTAGGTAATAAATACTCGGGGCAGAGGGTGTCTATTACCAAGTCCCCTAGGTATTATAGTTGACAAATAACCATTTAAACCAATGCCGGAGTCCTAGTTGACACGCTCCTAAGAATCTCTAGACAGTATCCCAGACTCCATCATCGGTCACCAAATCGAGGTCGATAACCCAAGCTGAGAAATCGAGATGATCGAGCTCGGAAAAGTCGACTATATGATTTTCTGAATCAGAATAGTCTCGCTCTTGAAGCGTGGTCAATTCAGACCCCCTTCCAGAGCCAGTGATAATATCGGCTCTTGGGGCAAACGTTGTCGAGGTGTCTAGGATAGTATCCAGCTTGCGAGCAATGGCCTTTGAGGCCTGTACACAGAAGCCATGATTCGTTTCATCAGGACTAGATACATTCTCAAGTTGAGACACCAGAACAGAAATATTTCGGATCACGGAGGAAGATTTGATGTTGGGTGGAAGTGGTTGTGCGGGATCTCGGATGTTCGTTTCCAATGCTGTCGTCAGAACGATTGCGGATGGTAATCCGTATATGAGAAACTGTGAGTGATATTCCTTTAGCAATCAAGTCTTCAAAATACAATGAGAACAGCTGGAAATATTACAATTTCAGGGAGATCGCGTGGTGAGGACTGGCAGTTGCCGCGATTCAACGAGTTCGCCATCAACATGACTGTTTCCAGCATGTTTGCAGACACTTCTAGTAACTCCGGAACTGTAGATGTATGACACTCGCCAAGCATTCGATATATCTGAAAATGAATATGAAGATAGGACAAGTATACTTTCCCATGTAGGTAGCAGACTGCAGGGGGTAAATCGGAGGTCCAGCAATTTGGATCGTACATTAGATGTGCTGGAAGACTGCACCAAGTTTGACGGCATCGGTCGGAGAGATCCCTGAAAGTTATTAGGCTTATATAAATGATAGTAGTATAAGGGAACGGCAATATACCTGAGCTTGCTGGAATCTATTGATGGCGTTGATCGGATCTGATATTCAGCGGTCTCTTCTCGAAACTCGCCTAAAATGTAGCGTAGCCGGGCCCATGTTGCCGTGCTGCGGATTCCATTTGTATTCCAACCGTCGTGTGTCAAGTTTGTTTTTATTTCGCTCAAGACCTCTGGCGACGATATGGTGAAAAGTGCATCGTCTGGTATATCAAGAGGCAATTTGCAGTCCGCATGCCTAGATGAGATCCTCGGAGGGCGATTGAAGACCGTAGCGAATATCTTATCCAAGTAATATGCCCTGACGAATGTCCTTCGTCGACACTCGGCAAGAAAAAATGGTATGCTTTCTGAAGAGTATGTTGCCTCTCGGTTCAGACCTAATGCATATAGATCGGTGGCAAGGTCGCTGACTCGACGCCAGACATTCAAGCCTAGGCTATTTGTTAATACCGATCAGGGCTTTTTATATTTCTTTTCCAGACTCACTCGCATCTCCCTCGAATAATGACATTAATTGTAAGTTTTCATGAGCCAGCCATATAACGGGATCTGTCGTCTGTGGTGCAAGCTCACGAGCAAGTCGTAGGCTCGAATTACTACACCAACACATCTCTTGTATGAATGAGTCGTTTCGAACCTTGGCGTAAGTTGAGCTGTAAAGAGATGCACGTGCTGCGAGAGTGTATAGTAGACCTAGCGTTTCGACGCGCAGATTATCTTCGCAGAAAATGGCGCAAAAGTTCTTGACATCCATAGTTGCTGAGATGGCGACTTCGACAGAAGTCGAGTATAGTATACTCTCGGCCAATTGAGAAACATTATAAACGCCGATACAGGACTCTGAATCCTGTTTGATATATCCGGACTTGGTCAAATCATTACAAACCATCTCCAGAAGCTGGTTAACGATAGTCTTTGGAACGAGTGCGGTACCAATGTAGACGAAGTAATCATGTAGCAGTTTCTTAATAATCGGAAGAAACCTGAGTGCACATATGATATCTGCCAATGAAGCTAGTTGTTCACTGCGAGCCTTTTCGTTGTGGAATTCTGAGACTGAGCCCCGACTTGGCGAGCCCTTACGGTCAGGTATAAAAGGCCATGACTGGAAGCTTGGAGCTTTTATGGAAGAACTGGGTCTAGAAACGCCAAGGTAATTAAGGGAGTCTGCAATGGAGTTCTCGTCGACGGAGACAGAAGTGCATGGAAGTGATGTAGCTCGACCCTGGGTGTTGCTATGTTGTTTGGTGAGTGGTGCCGGATGGTACTTGCAGAGTGACTCTCGGCCCCGTCGTCGACAAGACGCACAAACGGGCTGCTGGTGATCACAACGGATCTTCGATTTTCTGCATGGTTCGCAGGAAGCCAAAGAACGATTCCGCCGACGACTCGGAGTCGACATCTCTATTCACCCGCGCTGTCATAAAGAATGTAAGGATGATAAAACCAGACATACAGTGATGTATCTTGCTGGGTATCCATATAAACACGTGACTTTACCATTACAGGTGAATCGCGAGGCCAATGACTGGGGAAATCGAAAAAAAAAATCAGAACAGATAAATTGAAAAAATGAGGACTTACTCAAAATATTGACAGATTGAAAAACATGCCATTTTCTAGGCCCAAATCAACACGAGGAGACTGAAGGCGTCGGTATGCTCCGGTTGGCGGCTGCTGTATCGGACTTGTATCGGCGTTGAATCAGCAGCAGAACCTGACACTTGACTCGGTCTGGCTGAGATATTGAAATCATCCGATTGGTAGACACCGAGTGGACTTTTTATAGCGACTCTAGCTCTCTTCCTTACACGTCTATCTAGTGAAATGATTGATTTAAAAAGCACTGACTAGGATAGGGTTCAAGTCAAATCAATCTTTCAAAACAAGCGTGTCCGAAACATGTAAAAATTACATGGTCAAGTGGTAGTAGATTACCAGCGGTCTGGACAGCGGCGAGGGCTGATCCAGTATGGCCGAAAATCAAAAACTCAAGCGATTTCGATTATGTCCAAGTGGTTCTGCCGGACTCGCTCCATCAGCCAGTATTAGACATGAAATTACAATACATTACACCAGTCAAAGACCAACAACACCTATGGATGCAATGTCCAGTTGGATATTCACTGTGGCTAATATCACGGAGAGGGTTATGTCTAAGTATTATTTATTGGAAATGCCATAAACGAAGCTATGGATCTAATGAATACCTAGATTGCTTCTCGTAGTTGAGTTTCAACTGCCTCTAAATGCTCGCTCGTCTTGCTCAAGTAAGGTGAATGACCTGCCTGTAGCACGTCGGTGGAAATAGACAGGCCATATTTTGCGCTCACATCAGCAACCATTTTCTTCTGCATAGAATATGACAAGCCATTGTCCAGTGCACAATAAATGTAGGAAACTGCGTGGGAGATGTATGCCGCTTGACTGATGGGGGCAAGTTGCGTAGATACAGGGCACTTCCGCATCTCCTTTGTCCAATGAACTTGTTCCTCCTCAGGCAGGTCGTCGTAAATTTGAGACTGGGGATCAGTCATAATGCACATTTCTTGTTCCTGGTTGATAAATAGCGTCAATCAAACGAATACTGTGAAGATACAAAACAAGGATAGGAAAGGCAAGGTCACTCACATCAACGAGAACACAAGATGGGATAAGTCCGCCGAGAGGTGATAACAAACTGGACCCAATAGGCACAAGGAAGGCTGTGAGGTAGATAATTCGAACACAACACCCTCGCTTTTGCCATCAGCTTCACGAGAAGCCTTGTTAAACCGTGCCTCGACAATTGACTGGCGACGATACCTTCATAGGAATGCGCCACGATGGCCACGTCTTTGTGCTCGATATCGATTAACTGGACTAGCTCATCTGTGATTCGCCGAGCGTCGTCCATCACACCAACTGGGGGTAAGGTAAGTTACCCACGCTAGGGCTGTTGAGGACATGATGTCTGATAGCCAGCTCGCTCAAAGACGCCACAGATACGCCTAAGGTGTACTGGCGTATGCCACGAACCATGAATGAAAAGAATAGTGGGTTTGCTGGGCATGTTGGAAAGCAAGCAGGCTGCAGTAAATCACAAGCTCACGATCAGCTTTCCTAGACGGGGAGACGGATAGTATGCAAGCTGAAGAGTGTCAATGGAGCAAAGAGAGGATCACAGAGAGATGTGCGTAGGGTGAAGTTGGAAGAGAGGCAACAACAAATGTCACAATTATTGTAAAAACCTTGGTTGTTTTCTTTTGTTTCTTTGTTTCCTTTGTTTCCTTTGCTGCCTTGTTGCCTTGATCGGATGGCACTCACCCGGGGCCGCCACGACTCCGGCACCTATCATTCATCTGTACCTGGTTTCGCTTCCTGCTTTCTGCTTTCTCTTCCTCTTCTTCACTAATATTATGACCTTCGTTGAACAACTACTATAGGCTGCCTGGTATTTCATTGTATCTTGATCTGCGTCGTACCTGGGCATCCTCACAATTATCACAACGAATATCGAAACCCGTTGGCCAAAGTTGCCTTCTTCTTCACTATATTAGCGAAAAAAGAAATCCCAACACCCCTTTTAGTTATCGACGCTCGTTTCAATTATAAAAATTCAAAATAAAAATCCCGATGCCGATATAATTTTGGCCTCAGGCTATCCCATCAAGATCGACCCATATTAGCCACCTTCCTTTGTCTTAATCATCTACACCTTTCATTGTCGTCGTCTCTCATCCCGTAGACCTCAAAGCTGATCAATCTCTGGTACCACATCAGGCTCTGCCTTCTGTGAAGAGCGTTTGATGTCAAATGAGACGATCTGAGTGGCCTGAGACTCAGACCAATAAAACGCCCGGACGGTGGTGCATAAACTTTATCTTACCACGCTTCCCCAGTTTAATTGAGTCTAATGGCTAGATAATGAATAATATGACGTATTAATATTAGGTAGTGTCGAGATCATGAATTGGCGTTCATAGATATTATGTTCGTGATGAGAATTCGAACCTTTTGCGGAATCGGGACGTCGAATTGGATGGAAGATAGCTTGTACTATATGAGTAGTTGTAAACGAACGCTTGGAACCCCACCGTGGCCTCTAATCGTTCCTGCAACACCAAAATACTATATGTATTCCAGAATATGGGCAATTCGGGCATACCCCTTTATCTGTAGGCTTCCTTGCGTAGTAAGGCCCCAAAATTCCCCTGCGAATGGAAATTACCCGATCGCAGGGTGATTTATCAAGCTCGACGACACCCATCCGACAAAGGCCCTTCTTTAAGAGACCTTCAGATATGTTCACAACCTCATGTTTCCTACTCCACGGCAGGGGTTATCGTTCTAAGATCCAATAAGCCATGCTCTATGCTGGATTTTCATCGTCAGGATGAAATGATAAAGCTAGAATATGCAAGAATACCCTGATCTGTTCACTGAGCCTTGAGCCAAGGGGTCGAAACTTTAGTGCTCTTACCATGGCGACGTCAGCCAAAATAGACAACTTGGAAAACCGCGTATAATGACCAGCATGGTGTGTTTGTACGAGCACATTGATTTTCCAGGAGTTGGCAATGTTAAAATTAACAGGACGGAATAAATAGGAGAGGCACCGTGTTAGTTTCTATGCGCTCATTGGACGGTGCTAAAAGTGACAGGATGATCAAAGGGCTAAATAATGGAGGGCTACGTAGGCTTACCTGCCCCCCTTCTTCCCCCCAAATGTAGTTGCATCTTCTTCCGAGTCGGAACCCCCGGTAAGCCACTGACAAAAGCTGAGACACAGTGGAACATGCCAAATGTCCCGAGATCTGATTTATAATCTCAATCTCTGTTGAGTATACTACGTATACTACCAGTATGTTATTTAATTTGTGTCTTTTAGAAAAGGTGGAGAAAGTATTCCATCCACCTGCCCGTGGGCATATACCGCATCGGAACTACTCGGAGACTGGAATTGAAGTGTACATCACCAGTTTGAAGCGTCATTGCTAGATATTTCCCCGATATTAGACCTTCAAGATGGAACGGGGTGCATACGAAAAAGCTGGAGTTAATTTGCGGGGTATTCGTACTAGGGAGCCTCGTTGAGAAAGTGCCGCCATTCGGACGATAACTTGAACCAGGTCGAGATGCTGACACCGGGTTCTTTCGGAAGCTTCTATAGATTTGAGGTCAGTTTGACTTTGGAAATAGACTTTCACTCCTCGATTAAGCATATGCCGTACCGTGTGAGTTTGGGGTGGGTTTCGGTAATGGTTGGCCACTGGGAGTACAGTTTAAGGGGTGGCCAATGACGTGGTGGTGGTGGTGGCTGGATGATGGGCAGCTTTTTGTTTTAGGGCTCTCGAGGTTGATCAAGTGCTGCAGTATTTGTTTAGTAAAACAATGCAGCCCTAAGAATGAGATGAGGATTGGAATTACGTGATGGAATAAAGACAAGGGCAAAGACCAAGACCAAGACAACTAGAAAGGACGGAAGGTGGCCGATGTGGTGTGGAGCCAGCCTCGTTCTCACTGTCAACTGATTTTCCATGGACCACCCCCGTCTCAACCACTTTCATCTTCTCCACCACCCCCACTCACCTACCATCCCACGTCCTTTGCATCTCCATTCATCCTTGGCGATCCACAGGGGCCCCAGGTTGGCCTCCCCGGATTGGATTCAGAATTTTTCTCCGATACCTTGGCAGGGCTCCTGCGAAACCCTTGGCGACACGCGAATGGCCAAACAAGCCTCCCGAGTTTGCCCTTACATGAGCAATACCACGCCTGCTCATAGGCTACCCGGACCGAACTGGTCTGATCCCGACGTACCCCAAGCTTTACAAGGCAAGCTTGTCCGGATAACACCGAGTCTTGGCTGCATCAAACCTCATTGCCGTTTGTATGAGAACATCTGGGGATGGTTCCCCCCGAATGAAAAATGGAAAATTTCCACACTGTTCAGGACTTTCATATTTGTTGGCACGCGGGCACGCCGTCTCAAGTCCCCGGTGAGCCTCCAGCTCGACACCGACACACCCAAAGGCAAATTAGGGAATCGGGCCGAGTGGGCTCGCGCGTGATTCCCGTCTGGGTCAGGTCCAATCCGAAGCCACGCCCCGCAAATCATACAATTTACGGGTTTTCTCCGAGAGTCGGCACTCCTTCTAGTGTAATTATGCTATGCGGCCGTGTCCCGTAACGATGCAGTTGTCTCGCCCCCCGAGCCACCTTGGCAGACGTCTCCCGAAAGGGGCCAAAACCATACCGATCCTCTCCCGGGACACACCATCCCCAATGGAATCGGTGCTGTGCACCAGTAGCATTCCGTTGAAAATTGCCACTTTGGATCACGTCCAAATACTCCCCACCCACGTTATTAACCACACTTTGGTGGAAATGTGCTTTTTACTTTCCCTCTGCGGGGTCTCCACGAATATCACTGGGGTTGCTGAAACCGAAATCGGGCGACCCTGTTGGATTTAAATCACAACCCATTCCCGTTATTTTTTTTCCCTTCTTCCTCTCTGTTTACTCTCTCTTGTTTGTCACATATCGCCCTTGCGCCTTCCTCTCAATATGGGGTGGCTATTTCGTGGCAAGGCCTTGCACCTGGCCCAAGCACTTCTCATCGTTGCTCCTGCCTTTATCGTCTTCGGTTACAACCAGTCAGGGCTGGGCCCTCTGGCCACTCTGCAGAGCTGGGTTGGCATCTTCCCGCAGATCGATACCGTCAATACCGAAGGTGCTCTGAAATCAAAGAACTCTACCGCTAAGGGTGCCGTTATTGCATCCTACCAACTCGGTGCCCTGCTCGGTGCCCTCTCATGTACAGCCTTGGGTGACCGACTGGGTCGCCGAAAGGTCATCTTCATCGGTGCTATCCTCACAATTATTGGTTCAGTCCTTCAGACGGCTTCGTATGGCCTCGCACAGTTCGTCGTCGGCCGTGTCATTCTTGGATTCGGTGTCGGCCAGTTTAGTGTCGCCGTGCCAGTATGGCAGTCCGAGTGTACATCTGCTAAGCATCGAGGACAACACGTTGTCGTTGATGGTATCTGTATTTGCTTGGGTTATGTCCTGTGCAATTGGATTGATTTCGGCATGAGCAAGGTTGCTGGCAACCTCGAATGGCGCATCCCCGTCGCCATTTCTCTGTTCTTTTCCGTGGTCGTTCTGGCATCGGTCTTCCTTCTTCCCGAATCCCCTAGATGGCTTGTTTCTGTTGGCCGTGTTGAAGAAGCCACGGAGAGCCTTGCTGCCTATAAGGGTGTCTCTGACGATGACATGGCTGTCGGTATCGAGATTGCTGGTATCGAGACCTCCCTCGAGGTCAGCGTCGACAGCGCTTCGCTGATGGACATCTTCAACCCCAAGAAGCCCGACGAGGAGCGTCTTCTTTACCGTTTCTGCCTCTGTGTTGCCCTGCAGTTCTTCCAGCAAATGTGCGGTGGAAACCTCATCTCAACATATGTCTCTACCATCTTCGAGGAGAACCTCCACATGACGAGCGACCTGGCACGTATCCTGTCATCTTGTGCTATGACATGGAAGTTCCTTTGCAGCTTCATTGCCTTCTTCGCCATTGACCGTCTGGGTCGCCGCAAAATCTTCATGATCAGCGGTGCTGGTATGTCCATCTGTATGATTGTGCTCGCCATCACGACCAGCTTCGGCGAAAACAAAAAGGCGTCTGTTGTATCGGCCGTCTTCATCTTCCTCTTCAACTCCTTCTACCCCGTCGGCTTCTTGGGCGGTAACTTCCTCTACTGTACCGAAGTTGCCCCTATGCGCCTGCGTGTCGCCATGGCTGCCATCTCCACCGGAAACCACTGGCTGTGGAACTTCGTTGTTGTCATGATCACCCCTGTTGCCCTTGACACCATTGGATACCAGTACTACATTATGTACGCGGTCATCTCCGCCTGTATCCCCTTCTCCGTCTACTTCTTCTACCCCGAGACAATGAACCGCAACCTGGAGGCCCTGAACTCCGTCTTCCGCGATGCCCCCACACCCTGGCACATTGTTTCCATGGCCCGCAACCTGCCCCAGGGTGAGGCTGCCGAGGTCGAGGTATGGAAGCACACTGAGGAGAAGGGTGCTATTGAGCAGAAGGAGAATGCTTAAGCGTTGCCGCCATGATATTGATTATGCATGGACGAAATTATTTGTTTTTTTAAGGCTTCATCACGATGACGATAGAGAGTGATTTATTTAGAATTACCAAGATGAGATAGACGATTGAAAATTTTATGACTGCTCTCATATCTCAATTACTGCTTCATAAAACACTACCAGGTTCAACTGTAAAATAGCCTACCAAGTGATTTCAAGCTTCTCAGTAAAACACCGTGACCCACTCGTAGTACTACAGGCCTCTAGGATCAGATTCCCACCCGCCAGCCGGTGTATAAGCAACTGTGCAAAAGCAGTGATCTGGTTATAGATGAGATAACACTGCGGAAAGAGGATACTGCTCTGTCCGATTCATATTCTGGGCGGCAGAAAAAGGACATGCAAAAGTAGTGAAAGTTATTCTTCAACAGTCAGCGGCGGATGTGAATGCGAAATATCGGGCAGATACATCTCTTTTCAAAGCCTGTCAGTCAGGCGATCGAGAAACAATCAGTGTGTTACTAAATGCTGGCGCTAACCCCAACATCCTCTGCAAAGATTCGCCAGATGAGTTTGGAATGGGAAATGCAATTGTCATCCCACAAAATGATGATAAAGACGAGCAAGAGGAATTGTCAAAGGGGAAAACAGCCCTATACGCTTTCTGTGCCAAGGCAGACCATAACACGCCAGATGTCGTGGAATGTGTCAAGCTTCTGTTGGATGCCGGCGCTGATGTCAATTTGAAGGCCCCTGATGGATCAACTGTCTTGTACATTGCCTGTAGAGGAAATGGAAAGCTGGTCAAATTTTTACTTGAGGCCGGCGCAGATCCCACCATCGAAGATAATTCGGGGCGCACAATACTTCACACGTGTGGAGAGAATGATGAAGAGACTCTACCGCTCCTTTTAGCGGGAGGACTCGTTGACATCAACAAAGCAAGTGATTTGGATGGAAGAACACCCTTACATTGTCGTTCCGAACATAACAATAGCACACCAATGCTGCCTTTTCTTCAATTCAAGCCGGATCTGGATGCTGTGGATTCTGAGGGCAATACAGCGCTTCATTATTGTGTGCGATCCCCCCTTATTGTGAACACCAGTACACATATCGATGATCTCTTAGCCGACGGTGCAAATCCCAATATCAAAAATCGGCAGGGCGACACACCCTTGCACAAGATTCATAGCTCCAATGAGTTCGTTTTGAAACTTCTACTAGCTGGTGCAGACATTGAGGCTCGAAACAGCAAAGGCCAAACTCCTCTTTTTGCATATGCCGGCGAATCTAAAATGGCATCCAATGCTTCGGTTTTCCAATGTCTGATTGATTCGGGCGCTCGTATTGATACATGCGATTTTGAAGGGCGAACTCTTCTATATCAGTACATCAATTACCCCCCAACGTTTTGACTATTTGCTGAACCTTGGCTAGACCCAAGGGCCACAGACTATCAGAATAATTCGCTTCTGTTTGAGGCCCTCATCAATCGTTCCAACAGCATTGATCTTAGTTTCAAGCCCGTTGATTTTATGAAACGTCTGATATACCTTGGATTGGATATCGATCAGCCAAACAATTCCGGGAGAACTGTGTTGCACGAGTTTATCTCCAGGACAGGTGGCAATTCTCTCCCATGCCCTCAGCCTCAGGTATTGGATTTTATCCTTGAGGCCTGCAGCAACCAAAGCCCTAGCGATTGCGATGGAATTCAGCCTTTGCATATTGCCGCAAGAACATCCCCTGGATACTTCTTCAAGCTCATTGGGGCAAGTGCCGATCTCTTCGGAATCACTTACCAAGGCATGTCGGTACTTCATGTTGCCGCAGAAGCACGGCAAGCCGATATTGTCTGTCTGATTGTGTCAAAATTACACAGCGTGGCAGACAACAGAAAGAATGGTTTTATCGACAAGCAAGACAGATCGGGAATGTCTGCTCTTCATTACGCTTGTCAATCTGGCCGCCCTGAAACCGTCAAAATACTCCTTGAGGCTGGCGCAAATCCCAACTTGAAAGATCGTCAGGATTACTCCCCGTTCAGCGTTGCAGCGCAATTTGAAAGAGAGCTTATGATGAAGAGGGATGATTCCACTTCCCCGCAGGATTCCCCTATTGATTTAATGAATATTCGGCTTGGGCGAGAGATGCGCCAGAACGAGATACGCCGAATGTGTGGTATTATGATGGTCCCACATATCTCGCACGACAAATGCTTCAGTATTCTAACAGAAGACAACACAACTAGACTTGAAGAAATTCTGGAGCTGTTGTTCGCATTTGGCGCACGTGTGACAGGAAAGAAAGGCTGTCTTCGCAAGGCCTTTGATTACGCTGTGTTATACGGGCTTGACTATACGGTTGACTGTCTGATGCGTTTTCAGGTCCTATTTACGGATCAAAGCGGCGCTGGAGAGCATTCTGAATATGATGATTACCTCATTTGCAATTATCGGTTCGAAGCGACGAAGAAAGCACTGAAGTGTGGCCGGATCTATCACAATCCAGAAAATGAGAAGCAAGCGCGACATGGAAATGTGGTTTATTACTCGAACTTTTCAGAAAAGCTACTCTTCATGCGGCAGTATGATATTTTTAAAGAGAGACTATCAACAAGCACAGTATCGGGGATCGTCGTGCCAGCCACGGTCAATCCGACACATATCAATTATAAGGGGGAATCGGCCCTCCACCTCCTAGTACGCTGGGGATACAAAGAATTTTGGCCCATGTCTGTACCGCAGATATGACACAGTGGTTTGATGATAATGAGTGGTGTGCTCTCGCCGAGAAAGAGGCAACAGTTGTCGATTACCCGATGATTAAGCCATTGTTAATGACTGCCTGTGATCGTCTGTTTCCAAACATGGATGTGGTCACATACTTGGTCGAGGAGATGAAAGTCAACATTAATGTGAAACAGCAATCTCGGTCAACGCTCAAAGATGACTCATATGACGTACTGTTTGGCGAAGGAGTACTTCATAGCCTAGCCAAGGGAAGAAGCTGGTGGCATGCTAACAAAGCCATACCATACCTTATTGAACGAGGAGCGAACCTTGAGATTCGCGACAAAATTGGGAGAACGCCACTTCTCATTGCTTTGACTGAGCCCGATTTCTTTGAAACTGGTCCATTTCATAGACAAGCAGCCCAGGTTCTCATTCAATCTGGAGCGAATGTCAATGTTCGCGACCAGAAAGGCAACAACTGTCTATCCAACGCAGGAAGTGACAGGGAAATGATCAAATTGCTTATTTCATATGGCGCCAAGATTGATAAAGAGGCCATTGAATCTGCCATTTAGCTTAGACAGGCTGATATCATTGAAGTTTTGCTCTCTCATAGCTGTCACTCTCGGGACAGGCAGCCTGGGAACCAGGAAATTACTCAAGTCAAACAAACCCTCTTGGAAGAAATAGATCCTGAAATGACCCTTCTCATGGCCGCAATCAGACTCAAGAAGTATAATTCTAGGTTCATCATCAGCGAGAAGAAGAAGTGGAGAATTTCCAGACGCGCTTGGTCGAACTTTTGCTCGGACACGGCGCCAACCCATGTGCGATACTATCTTCGCCTCCCTCGCTGCAAAAACCGCCCCCTGGGGCAATTCATCTTGAGAATTCTCGATTTCTAATGTCATCAAACGTCTCGATAGATCTCCCAATCATCCATTATGTTCTTCAAAGGGGAAAGGTCCTGGGGCCATTCTTTCAGCTTCCGTCTTTGCAACTAGAGTATTTGGATGGTCACGGATGCACATTGCTTCTTGCAGCCTCGAAAGGCATAAAAACGTTGGGGATGAAGCTTGAGAACTCTCGTGGACATGGAATCGCATGCAAAACTGTTCTAGAGGAACTCCTTGATCGTGGGGCAAACACAGCAGCACAAGATAAAACGGGGAGAACTGTTCTTCATCATCTTTTCGATCGACAAGACCCTGTTTTCGATCCCATAGAACCCCAGAACGGACCGGATGAAAAATATGTCGAAACTACCTTGAGGTCTATCACGCTTCGAAATCCAAATCTTGTTCATACACCCGATCATTACGGCAACACACCTCTTCATTTGGCCCTAGAACGCCATTCCCTCCACGATATCAACTTACTGCTTGAAAATGGCGCAGACGCTCTTCGTCCTGACCACGAAGGCAATACGGGACTCCATTATCTTGTTCGAAGTATCCAAGAAAGCGAATGCAAAGACATGTTCCGGAAATTCCTAGATCTTGGGGTTGATATCAATTCTCGGAATAACGAAGGGGAGACGCCTCTCTTTCGATACATTGCCAATACAGGCCTGGGACCCCGTGGAGGGCTTCAATTTCTCGGCCCAGGTAGAATTCTGGACTCGAAGCTTACCAGGCCTTTTTTTGATTTCTTTCGGGAAAATGGAGCAGACTTCTTCGCTCGAAGTAAGGGAGGCTCGTCGCTGCTTCATCTCCTGGCTTCCTTCGAGTGTGCTTCGAGGATTCAAGAAGTTCTGTCGCCAATAATTGTGGAAAGATTCAAAGTACTTATGAGTATGGGCTTAGATCCTATGCTTGAGGACTTGCGGCAGCAGACAAGCTTGGACATCGCCGCTGCGTGTGGAAATGAAGCGATCTTGAAGTTATTTGAACAAAAGCCCCTTAGCTAGCTTTTAGGCTGGATGAAACTACCCTTGATCATACACTACGTCGCAGCTACTGCAATACAATGCAATCGGTCCGGGTTATAAGTCAGTGTTTATCTCCATTGCCTCCTTTGTAACCAACAGTTTATCCAAATTACACTCTTGAAAGCCGCAGTCAGACTCATTGCGCTAGCCCTCGAAAGATAACATATCAAAACTAAAAATCAATCCTAGGTTCCGAATTTCTATTGCATCGGTATTAATTCTTGTATATCATAAGCAACATGCGTGGGTATTCAATTAATAGTACTTTCTAATTCTGCACCACAAGCCCGGGGCTAGGAATATCTATTCCAGGACAATTCTCCGACCTTACCTCCGTAATGACATCATATGGATAAGGGAGTGTCCAGATCAAATCATATCTGTCAAGGAATTAGCACTTTATTTTTATACAAGTTCGCAAATCGGAACAAGGAGTCCGCAGCCGAAACCCGATCTCGCCAAGTAACTAAAGATGACGATCTCTCGCAAGCCGAGAACTCCACGACCGAACCAACTGAACCAAGAAGTTTTGGAAAAAAAACACACGGAGTAGTACTAGTACTCCGTACGTAGGGAAAGAATAAATCTCGCTTACCGATCCTTGGGATACTCAAGTGGATATTCCGATCCCAAAAACCACTGAATATTAGGAATCGTCCCGTGCCGCCAAGAGATCAAGATATTTCCCGGCCCATCGTAGTCCCGAATCGCGTCAGCTACACACGCGCCACTATTATGCGGACAATGGGTGTCGACTTTGACGCCGAGGTCTTTGGCGAGTGGATGGACTGTTTTAAAGGGTCTGCCGTGTTTGCCGTCTATATAAGGAGTGTCAGCGACGTGAATCTCGCCTAAGGGGCTGAAAGGTTGGCTGTTTCGTGGTTTCGCGAACTTACGCTTCTTCACGGTTGGCGCAATGATATACCGAATATTGTACTCGGACTCTACGCCGAAGATGGTGCGCAGGCATTGCGCTCGTTTCTCTCCCTTATGGGAGAGACGTTTGTCTTTTTTATCGGCTGGCTTTTCGGCGTGGCGGATCAGGTAGACAGTAGGGGGTTTTCTGGCGGACGCGATGGTCCACAGGAGGCAGAAGGCCAAGATCACTAATGGGAAAAGCATAGTATCGACAAAGTGGTGATACTATGTAGTACCCCAGAAACCTTGAAGAAGAAGTTAAGGGGGGGAGACAGGGTAGAGGCAGGATATAAGCTTAAAAGACTAGTAGCAAGAGCTTGCCGCCGATCGGCCTAGCTCCTTCCTTTATACACTGGGCCCCCCCGATATGAAACACGCCAGCCATTGCAGATTCTGTCACACAGCGAACAAGAAAGTTGCCAGCCAGGTGGATCGCCGGGTAGTTTGTTCAATGAGTGAGCGGCACCTGGGCAGATGGGGCGTTTGGGCTGAAGGAGTGTGGTCGAGTGACGAACTACTATTCGTGGAGAGATTGTTTTGATTGGACTGTAGCGGTGAGCTATTAAAGCATCCACTTGAATTCCAACGTTGGCGGCCGTCTTCAGGAATCAGGGCTTTTTGTTGATCGGGTCTGCAGGGTTTGCATATCTGACTGTGACTGACGACTGGCATGCAGGGGATGGCGAATCAATCTCATTATTGAGGTATGCTGCAAGCTGGTATTGATGTCCTGGTAGGATTGACGTGTTATTTACTCGGATTTATGGCTATTAGAAGCGAATATATTTCCACGATTATTGGATGTGTTAGTAGATATTACCAGCCAGCGCAAACAGCCCACCACCTAGGTATGTAGTCCAGATTAAAATATCCCTGAAGGAACGATCACTTCAACCTATTGGCGTTGAACTTGGAAAAAAGCAAATCTACCAAAGTTGCCAGGAGATAACAAGCCGAAAAACAATACATTTATAAACCCAGGACTATTCCTGGAGATTTTGAAACTATTATCAAAACGCGAACTTGTTTACGCTGACCCGGAACAGATACAATATCTACTGAAAGACTACGAAATACCCCATACTATCTACGCTGATTAGAGACAGGGATACCGGCCCAAAGCCGCCGTCGCGGTCACCGGATCAGTGAGCCAACCGACGCGAGAGACCGCCGTGTGACAGGCGACGGCGGCTGATCTTTTGGACTTGTGCTTGTGCACCGGCGGAACGACCATGCTCGAAAGTTCTCGCTAGTACAAAGTCCGAGAAGTCAAGCTTTTCGTATGCGACCGCAACAAGTCTCCTGATTTGGCTGATGATCGCAGCTGGGACCATGTATCGGCCCCAAAGATTGTATTGGATGGCCGGTGACGAGTGAGAATTCAGCAGGCAGATGACAGTTGCGTCATACGGTATCGGAGCATCCGATCTCTCGCACTCCTCCCCTGTTGGGTCTTGGACGCTCCCTTGGGGGCCATTTTTGTTGCTTATGTCCAGCCACCAGCCACAATACGAAGACCGTGGAGAAGGGCAAGCAAAGGAAAGGACTGGAACGGATGTGGGGGCCGAAAAGGTACTCGTATGTACTCGTTGCACCGAGCCAAGAGGAAAAGATGGAGTGAGGGGCTTAGTCTCGATGGAGTTGTACTAGGCAGCCAAAATAAAAATCCCAACCGCGCTGCATGCCGAGAAAGTTGGGCGGAGAGAAATGAACTTGGCGCCACGAAAATTGCATCAATGTGTCGCAATAGGGGGAGAGCGAGAGCGAGAGAGGCGCGGTTAGGCAGAGAGAGAGATAATCATAGAAGATTCGAAGAATGATCGAAGGATGCTATTTTCGGGAACCCCGGGTATACGCGTACGGCCGCAAGACGAGTAGCGCGCGATTTAGCGGTATTTGGTGGCTCAGCCCTGTAGCCCTGGGTGCATCGCCACTGCAAATACGCACTAGAAAAGGTGGGACGCAGTGATGAGCGAGTGATGTGCAATGCAGGGCAGCGCAGTACATACTGTATACAGTATGTAATAAGTAGTTGCAGTGCCTCACAGCTGTGGCGGTGCAGCACTCTCCGATGGTTGCACTAGTACGAGTCTAGGCAGAGCAAGTCGGTACAAGTCAGTAAGGCCGAGTAAGTCAGAGTAATGGAGAGTAATGGAAGTCTGCGCCTCGCAGTTCCGTAAAATTGCGGCCATGTGGGGTGCTTCCGTCAGCCCTGTGGCTGCCGGTCAGTTGCATATAAGACACACTTCCCCTCCCCCTCTTTCCCTTTCCCATCTCCTCCATCACTCATCACCCATCACTTCTACACTTCACTTCATCTTCATTTTTCCCATCCACACAATGTCCGGTTACGATCAATACAACCAGGGCGGCTACGGCCAGCAGGGTGGTTACCCCCCCTCAGCAGGGCTACGGTGGTCAGCAGGGTTATGGTCAGCAAGGCTATGGCCAGCAGCAGCAGCAGCAGCAGCCCTACGGCCAGCAGGGTTACCAACAGGGTGGCTCGGACTACTACAACCAAGGCCAACACGGCCAGCAACAGAGTGGCTCGTCTGATTACTACAACCAGGGCCAGCACGGCCAGCAGCAGCAGCAGCACGGCTATGGTGACAACTCCCAGTATGGCCAAGGCCAGGACTACAACCGCCAAGGGTATGTTACATTTCCGCCCCCACTTTATCCTCTATCACATCATTCCAGTTCATTATACTGACTTGTTTTTCTTTTACAGTGGCTACGAGCAGCAGCAGGGTGCTCCTGGTGAAGCCCAGGAAGGCGAGCGTGGCCTTGCTGGCGCTCTCGCCGGTGGTGCCGCCGGTGGTTTCGCCGGCCACAAGGCCAACCACGGCTTCCTCGGAACGATTGGTGGAGCCATCATGGGCAGCATTGCCGAGGACGCTATCAAGAAGCACCGCAACAACAACCGTGACGAGAGCCCCAATGGCCCCCCCCGGCTACGGTGGTGGCTACCAAGGTGGCCCTCCCCCCCCTCCAACAGCGGTAGCTCCGGTATGATGGACCAGCTCGGCGGTTTCTTCAAGAAATAGACGGCCTTCACCCCATTTTCTTTTATTTATCTGCGCCCGTGATTTCGACCAACGTGACGACCTTCCAAATATCATGAATTTCCTTTTCGTTTCATCTTTGTGGGAACGGCTTTCGTGTGCCTCTTATCAGATCTCCATGTTTATTCCTATTTTCTAGCTCTTTTATCATTATCTTTCTTTTTCGCCTCGAAATGAGGAATGTATCATGACACAGATTTGCATCAATAATGAAGACTAGCTTCGTGATTCTAATCGGATCTGCATTCGAAACCCTTCCCCCGCGATCTGCTCTGTAGACTAAACTGGTAGGATCATCGCTCATCGGCAGAACAACAATCAACATTTGCCACCCGCGGGGCTCAGGCCACCACATCCGAATCGGGTTTAGCGTTGTAGCAATATGGCCTCAGGCAACAAGGCAACAAGGCAACAACAAATGCCAAGCCCGACAAAAGTTCGCGCGGACTCTTCGACAACGCAGCAACTGCTCGCCGGTCAATTCCATTCCATTTTCCCATATAGCCCAGCATGATTGTCCGGAGATTTGGTGTGCGGCAGAGTGAGTGATCTCAATTGATGACAGCCTGCCATCCGAGCCTGTCAAACTAACCTTTGCACCTCTCTTCCAGGCCGCCAACTACTCGCCCTGAATCGCCGGTCTCCGATCTCTAGTCGCTTTTTATCCACCGAGAACCAAACCCCAGTCGACACAGCACAGAAGGAGGCACCTGTCTCCTCGCCAAACCCCCTGCACGAGGTTGTTCAGGCCACACAGAACCCCCGCAGCCTGGCCCAGAAGCAATTCAAGAAACAGGAGCAACAACGTGAGCACACCCCAGCCAGCTCCGCAAATATAACTGTTCGGCCCAAACAATCCAATCTAACCACTCCCTCTTTACACAGGATCCAAATTCAACAAACTCGGCAGCGCCGTCACAGACTCCCACGACCCTGAAGGTCTCCTCAGAAACCCACCCCGTCCCTCCGACATCACCCTCGAGCTCCTCCTCGCCTCAGGAACACACTTGGGCCACTCGACCTCACGATGGAACCCTCAGAACTCGCGCTACATCTACGGTATCCGTGAAGGCGTGCACATCATCTCCCTCGAAATGACAGCCGCCTACCTCCGCCGCGCCGCAAAGGTCGTCGAAGAAGTCGCCGCCCGCGGCGGCATAATTCTCTTCGCCGGCACGCGAAAGGGCCAGAAGCGATCGATCGTGCGTGCCGCCGAACTAGCCGGCGCTTATCACATTTTCGAGCGATGGATTCCAGGATCGCTCACGAACGGCCAGCAAATTCTCGGCCACTGCGCGACAAAGGTTGTCAATGCTATGGACGAGGAATTGCCGGAATTCAAGGCCGATTTGGCAGATCGTCCGTCCGTGAAACCGGATTTGGTCGTTTGTCTTAACCCGCTTGAAAACGTTGTGCTGCTTCACGAGTGTGGTCTGCACAATGTTCCTACTATTGGTATTATTGATACCGATGCCGATCCGACCCGTGTCACCTACCCGATTCCCGCCAACGATGACTCCCTGCGCGGTACGAATCTGATTGCTGGTATCCTGGGTCGTGCTGGTGAAGCGGGTCAGAAGAGACGTCTTGAGATGGCTCAGGAGGGAAAGACTCTTTATAAGCCTGTTACGGCGGGTGAGTTGCGTCTGGATCCGTTCACGGGTGTGTTACCTGGTGCCGAGCAAACCAAGGGCCCTAAGCGCGCTTAAATTCGGGCTTTGCCTTTTTTGACATGTTTCTTTTTGTATGTTCTGGCATCCGGGCGACTTTTGTGAGCGTCGGGCCTTTTTGTACTGTATAGATGATTCCAGCCAGTTCTTAGGGTGTTATCTCCTCATCGTGTATTAACAGTTGTTTCTATTGATATTTGAATATCGAATGCCTCTGAAGCATATTACTCAATCTTCGTCACGCCGGTATCACGACTCCTAGCCCTGGTTCTCTAGAGCGTCGACACCCCGGCTGTGATTTTAAACTTATCTCCTGGTTACTAGTTGCTCATGGTATTCAAGTTTGTATTTAATAATGAGGACCGGAGAAAGGTGACTAGTACTAGGATGGCGGAAGGTAATCTTGAATAACCATTTCTATATTCATTCTATTCATTACTCTAGTCCGTTACAAATAGAGAACACTGGCGGGTTGTCTCATCATATCATAAAGGCAGCCCATCAAGTTCCGCCCAGGCCTTGAGGGTATACACCACACGTCCGCGCGAGTCAGTTCCCTTAAGCGAAGCCTCCTGCCCAGAACTAGAAACCACACGGCGAGAATCACCGTTGTGCAGAATAATATCCAGTTCCTTCCAAGCGGGAGCGAAGCCGCTCTTCTCGTCGCGAACAAAGTCAACCAAGACCTTCTCCTCGGTAGAGCTGTAGCGCAGGGTATAGGTAGCGGTCTGAGGCTTCTGTGAAATGCCATCATCCTCATACCAAACATTCTCAAAGACACGGTCGTGCGAGGTACCCTTTGGCGGGAAGACTTCAACACCACGGTAGTCATCCAATTCCTTGACACCCTGCGAGGCAGCGGTATCATCACCGGGGACACGAGTGTGTACACTTTTGCCGACAGGAATGGCTCCACCAACGCGGGCAATGAGCGGGATGCTATCCTTCCACTCGGACTGGATGGAAGCCCACTGACCCGAAGCAAGGTAGTTGTACGGCGCATTGATGTTGACATAGCCGTAGTCGAAAGCGTCTCCAGACTTGCGGGGCAGGTAAACATCCGCAGTGTCGAGTCCAGCTTTGTAGACACCGCCGACGAGGAGAGAATCACCGAACCAGAACTGCTCCTCACCAGCCTTCAGTGCCTTGGTCCATACCTCGGGATCAGACTCGTAGCCCCAGCCAACCCAGCGCTGTGGTGGAGTCGCCTTCATATGGCTCTCCAGTCCCAGGGAGTAGATGTATGGCAGCATTTCGTAGCGGCGCTTGATAGTGTCGCGGACGAGAGGCGTGATCTCGGGATACATGAAAGGCTCGATAACGTCGCCAACATCATTGTTATCGGGAGAAGTCTTGAAGCAATTGATCGCGAATCGGGGAGAGTGGCAACCCAGCTGGATCCAGCGAAGTAGAAGCTCAGGCGAAGGCTGGGGACCTTCAAATCCACCGATATCGTGACCTTCACACTGCAAGAGAGACATTCCAGCATTGAGCGAGAGCGCATTGGCGCCCTTCATACTCTCCCAGCTTGTAACGTTGTCTCCGCTCCAAGTACTAGCGGAGTAGCGCATGGTACCGGCAGTGGCGCTGCGGGTGAGGACGAAGGGGCGGTACTGGGGCTCCATGTCGAGAAGAGCGTCGTGAGAAGATTTGCCCATCAGCTCGGTGTGTAGAGCGCGACCCCATTCTCCGACGTTGTTTGGAACGGCTTTCTTTGCGCCAGCGTCGACCATAGCATCGTCCAATGCTAGGGTCCAATCGTCATTGGGCAGAGTGTACTCATTGTTGTCGTTCCACATGCCATCAACGCCGACTTTCTTCAGGCTCTGAACTCCATTGTACCAGAACTTGAAAGCATCTTCAGAAGTAAAATCAATGTGGCAGCCATCACCTCCAGTAGCACCACCGGAGCTCCACAGGCGCATGTAGCCAGGTTTGCCGGTATCAGGGTCTGTGAAGAAACCACGAGAATGAATAAGACGCTGGAAGTCAGGGTGAGACTCCAAGAGGAAAGGCTTGATGTTGGTAATGAGCCGAATACCATGCTCGTGCATTTTGGCAACGTATTCCGCTGGGTTGGGGAAGCGGCTGTAGTTCCAGTTGAAAACGTTGCGGACCTTGGGCTCGACTGCAGCAATAGAGTATCCGGAACTCATTTGATGGGCCGAAACTGGAATTCCATGCTCCTCCAACTTCTCTGCGAACTCAACGAGAGCCTGGTGTGCAGGCGGCGAGTCCAGACTCGAGTACTTGTATCCACCAGAGATATAACCGTAGGCCCAGCGCGGGACCAGGATAGGGAAGCCCACCAACTCGGCGTATGACCGAACCACTTCTTGAATGTTCTTGCCAACAAGCATATATTGCTCCAGACCACCATAGTCTTGGCGGTACACCTTGAAGTGGCCCCAGAGGCCATCAATCTCTGATCCGACAGACCACGAACCCCGGCCATGTGTTGTTGAGAAGAGAGCTACACATCCCTCGGGTGTAGCCTTGATCAAGAGCGGGATATGCTTGTAGAGAGGATCGGAGTTGTACACGTCGTAGCCGAAGCAATCTGTGGCAGAGAGCTGGAAGGTACGGCCACTCAGGTCCATTGGAGCACTCTTCTCGCCGAGCCCGACATGCAAAGCATTTCGATCGTGAACAGAGTAGCTCGCAATACCGGTGGAGTCGGCGACATAGGAGCGGAGCGGCAGATCTTGGTGGAGAGGCTTGTCGGATCCGGTCCAGGAGAGCGAGACAACGGGCGTGTGTTCCCACTCAACCTTTGCAGTGACACCGCCGACGTCGATGGTTTTCGAGTTACCCTCGTTCTTCGCGAAGACATTGACACCCTGAAGATTGACCTCGGGCTTCTTAACGCTGGGGTATGGCGGAAGGTGGTGATCGGGGGAGGTGAAGGTCACTCGGAAGAGGTTCTGACGAATAGTTTCAAAACGAAAGTCAAAGGCAGTCTTGCTGCTAGAGCTGCTCCGCAAGTCCACGGAGGCAGCATCTTGCTGGGAGGTCGAAGAGACCTGCTGGTACCCACGGGGACAAACTTCTTTCTGAGGCATTGTGCTTTGGATTCACGATTGTGTTTCACAAGAGACAAACGAGCAGAGTCTCGGCAGTCTAGCATATTTGTAGGATTCTGTACATCTCCAACAATTCGCGCAGAAGTCCGCAGGAACCCCGCGTAGACTGCGTCGAGGTCGCAGGCGTGGGGCGGGCATGGGGCAGCATGGGGAGATGTAGAAGCGGAGATCGGGGATCATCACCGACGCCCGTCGAAAAGGACAGCGCCTCCTAGACTCAACCATGCACTCTACTCCACAATTGCCTGTCAACCCCACAATCCCCAGACTCAGATCGCCAAAACTCTCTCCCGCTTCGGATTTGCCCACCGAAAACCGACCACTAGCCCAACATAGGCATCTCCGTTTCTTAGGCTCTCGCTCGCCTCTTCCGGCCCCCCTCACGGCCAGGGATTGATTGGCTCTGATACACCGGAAGTTCTCCGTTCTTCAAGCCAAGTGCCGTTTCTCGCCAGATCGAATGACCAGAGGCGTGGCATGAGGCGTATGAACCGGGATGATAGGGGCTAACAGAGTTATCAGAAGCCGTCTGTGCTAGACGGGTCTAGTGCAAGTCTGGGGATATCATAAACTTGGTTTCCCCACGGGGTGTGCAGGCAATCCTGTGAGACGAGTATCTTTGTCCTTCTCCTTGCATCTTTTATTCCATCCATCTCTACAAGGTCTACCTTGCCCTTACACATCGAATTTTTGGGTGACTTCGATTGTCATTAGCGATGTCACAAGTGGAGGTTACTCCTCCAAAACACCAGCAGGATGAGCATGTCGAGTCCATCGAGGCTGAACAGTCCACCAAGCCTGCTCCGGCATCTCAAGATGCCACAGGGGCAAAAAAGGATGATGCGCTGCAGCTGATTGAGGATATGGGCTACTCAACTATCCTCACCCCTGAGAATAACAAGCAAGTGCTGCGCAAGATTGATCTGCGTCTTCTCCCTATCCTGCTGGCAATCTACTTTCTCCAGCAACTCGACAAATCAACCCTGTCATATGCATCTGTCTTCGGTCTCATTGAGAAAGCCCATCTCCATGGCAAGATGTACTCGTGGCTAGGGTCGGTGGTTTACCTGGCTCAGCTAGTCTTCCAGCCATTGGTGTCCTACCTTTTGGTCAAGGTGCCACTAGGCAAATTCCTAGCCGTATCCTGTCTGCTCTGGGGTATTGCCCTGTCCTGCATGACTGCCGCGAATACCTTTGCTAGCTTATTGGTGTGTCGACTATTCTTGGGTATCTTCGAGGCTGGTATTGGTACGTTCTTTCTCATGACATGGTGTGGCCTTGGTTCTTGAGCTGACGAAAGATGAACACAGCTCCCGCTTTCATCGCCGTGACCCAAATGTGGTATCGACGTCGCGAGCAGCCAGTAAGATTGGGATCATGGTATGCGATGAACGGAGTGGTCAATATGGTGTGTACCTCTAGTCGGACTCGTGTTAATTGGCCCTAACCATGGTGCAGTTTGGAAGTCTCATAACTTATGGACTGGGACACATCAACTCTTCTGTCTTTGAGCCATACCAGGTAATAAACTCTCAAAATGGTAGAAAGAAAGTATCCCTAATCCGATCCCGTCGCAGATTATCTTCCTTTTTTTCGGACTGATCACTGTGGGCATGTCTGCCGCAATCTTGTAAGACAGGATCCTACGTCAACAACGTGGGTGAACAACACTAATTGATCGCAATTACTATAGCTTTTTCATGCCCGATTCTCCAATTACTGCGAAATTCCTACCCGAAGAAGACAAACTGGTGGCGATCGAAAGGTACTTGATTCCTCCGAACCCGAATATACATTTCGATTTTGGCTAATTGGGTGATAGACTTCGCATGAACCAACAGGGCATGGAGACCCATGAATGGAAATGGGACCACGTGAAGGAGGCCGCTCTTGACATCAAGTCATGGCTTTGGTTTTCCTTGATGCTTACTATCTCGTAAGTAAAATCCAACTCAATAGGAAAAGGTTTCTGCTAACTGGAACCAGAATCCCGAGTGGTGGAATTACGACTTTTGGCCCATTGATTGTAGAATCCTTCGGATTCGATCAACTAAATACTATTTTGCTGAATGTTCCTTTTGGAGCAGTGCAGCTGATTGCTACAATGGGCGGCGCTTGGCTAGCCACCTTTTGGAAAATGAAGAGCCCAGTTCTGGCAATGCTGTGCCTTCCGCCCATTGCGGGATGCTGTATGCTTTTGAATCTTCCTCATGATGACTCCCACAAGGGACCTCTTCTAGTCGGTTACTATATTGTGAGTGAACAACCCCTCCCCTGTCTCGCGTCACCGTGGCTAACCTCAATTCGCAATCTAGATCTCCGTATACCCTGGAATCAGTAAGCTCGCAACTCCTTCACTCGGTCGCAGATTTAACTAATATCACCCAGCACCTTTGATTTACTCGTGGTCAGCCGCCAACACAGCCGGTGAGACTAAAAAGAAGGTCACCACCGGTATTCTGATTGTGGGACAATGCGTTGGTAACGTATGTAATCTCTCTCCCCTCTCCAAAAGAAATTATAATTTGCTAAAACAGCTACGTGGCTAGGTTATCGGACCAACTCTTTATACCACGGAAGAAGCACCGCTGTACAAGCGCGGCCTTACCGCAAAGTAAGAAGCAAAGGCTCATTATCGAGATATATCCAAGTTGCTAACTATTCAACAGCCTTGCTCTATTCTGCGTGCTAATTGTTTTGATTTCGTAAGATCTACGTGGAAAATATAGCCAGGAAAAAAGCTAACTCGATCTAGATTGAACGCGGCTTATCTGTTTGTCCTCAACAAGAAACACGAAAAACAACGTGTTGCTGCTGGAAAAGACGCCAAAGTGGTGGATCACTCGATGCACGCCGTTGGAGCCGTGGAAACCGACAAGGAGGGCGCACCCGTCCAGCAAGTAGTCAACGACAACGCTTTCAAGGATCTGACCGACTGGGCAAACGAGGATTTTGTTTATGTATATTAGCTGGTAGCTGGACCGATGATTTGGGAACCAGGGAGGAAGCTAGCGAGAAATTTGTAAATGCAAAATATTTGAATTTTAGTGATGACCACCGCTCACAAACATTTGGTTTCAAAATAACCTTGGAAGTCTCTCAAACAAAGTTCTCCCCTCCAGGGCTCCGAGTCGACATTGAATGGTTCCGCCAACTTGAAGTTATTGGTTGTGCTCGTCCGGATCATCGGGGCCCGCTGGTAATAGCCGATCGTCGGTCCAGTTGCCGAACCCCGCGTTTTCCCCTTCCCAGATCCAAGCAGACACTGGCAATTCTTCATGCCCACGGAGTACAGGGCCGCTTGAGCCTTTCTCGATATTAATATGCAAGAGGACGATAGCTTACACGTGGTCCCTGCGCCGATTGGAAAAAAGCGCATTCCAGCAAGTGCCCCAGCCCCCATGTTATGTGGGTACATCTCAGGAGACCGAAAAATGGTTAATAGTTGGGTTTATCTCTACATAGAAAGCATGCAGTGCATGTAGACTGTCCAAGGTGATTACCTATATGATTCTTACTGGTATTCTGGGTACACTTCTGAGCTAACGCTCCATCAGGTCCGATGCGACGGAGAGAGACCGTGTGGAAGGTAACGCCAGCAAGATCGATATGCACACACCTACAACTACTATACTGACAGATAATAGATGCGAAAGATTGGAGAAACAATGTGTTTTCTTTGAGATTCCAAAAGATCCCGTTTCAGAGTAAGAGGTTCCAGCGCCACAGCCATTGGCACCTTTGCAGAGAGATCAAACCATATCCTAACTGCACTAGACGAATTGAAGGTATTGAATGTGAGGTTCAATACCTTAGGAGACAACTAGATGAGATGCGAAACCTGTTGCAACATAATCGATCCCACCCATCAGTTCATTCTCAAGAAAATGTGTCGCCACGCCAAGTCCTAGAATCGCAGCAACACGAAGTTCGTGGAGATAGCGGGTGCCCTTCATCCCACTCTCAGATCACCCATGCAGAGGAAGATATCGTGACTCTTGCCGTGCCCGATGGTCCGGTTTACATGAATACTCATACTGGGAATTCATATCCAAGATCAAGACCAGATCTCTCTTCTCCGCATGAAATCTCTGTTCAACCACGATACGAAGCTCCCATTAATGAATTATCTTCACTAAAACGCAAACGATCTTGCTTTGAAATTAGTGAAGATTCAGTCGCAGACTTTATTGATAAAGGCCTTATTACAATAGAGTGTGCTGTCTCTTGTTTTGATACGTATGCCTCCCCCCCCGTCTCCAGCTGCGGGATAACGACTGATTCGATTCCACAGCTTCTTCCAAGGTTGCGTATGTCTCTTCGGCTCATCAAATATACAAATCTTCGAATACTAACACCCTTCATCCGACTAGGATCGATATATTCCAATATTTGACCCTCAGCATGATACTTTTGAATCGGTAAGATCTCGAAGTAGCATTCTCCTGAATGCAATATGCACCATTGGAAGCATGGTCGAAATAGGTCAGTTACTGAACTACAGCATGACTCGATGTCCTTGATTAACTCTCGCAGGCACTGGGGGCCAGATGTCCGACATGCTACACGCTGAACTGAAAAAATGGATCAACGTCATAATTCAAAATAAGGGCCTGAACTGTCTCGAATCAGTACAAGCAATGTTGGCGGTCGCTTGTTATTCTTCAGAGCGGCTTCTTATTTTGTCTTTTGCTACTCGAATGGCGCTTGATCTAGGTTTACATGAGGCTTTCGAGGAACTCACCGAGCGACTTGCGATGAAGAATGACGAAAATTTATATGAAGTTCCGGACCATGACTTTGAGCGAGAGCGGGATCTCATGAGGAAATCGAGAACGTGGTTTGGGCTTTTGGTGCTTGAACATATGTGAGTACTAGTATTTCCAAGGTTTGATTTGACAGCCCATTGGCTAAATTCTGATCTGGTAGATTTCGAGTTGATGGAGGGGAAGCCTCCGGGTATTAGGCTGATAGGGAATTCTAGACGCTGCCGAATTCTACTCAGTCATCCCTCTTCTACAGTTCTTGATCTTCGACTATTTTCTCAAGTCGAGGTAAGTTTATTGAGTAGTTATATCTCACGAATAAACCCGGTATTTTCAATTAGTCTAACAGTTGTATAGCTCAATATCCTCCGAGGTAAGGCTAGTTCACGACATGTGGATGTAATCAGAAACTAATTGCCTTTTTAACAGCAACGATCAATGACAATCTTGGATCGGGAACAACATTAGATCGACCCAGAATATCAGACTTCGTCCACGAGATGAAAATCGACCTAGACCTATGGTTCGACGACTGGCTCCGAATAATCGAAAGCTCAACATCCGCACGAGAGGAAAAGCCATTCCTCATCGTTGCACTACGAGTACAAAAATGCTGGGCAGAGATGATGCTCAACTGCAAAGCTTTGCGAGCCATGGGCGTCGAAAATGTAGCCGCCATGTCGGCAACCGAACGGAGCATTCTTCTCACGGCCAAGTCTAGTGCTCGTCGACATCTCCGCCTAATCATTCTTGAGCCGGACTACTACCTTGCCAAACTGAAATACGCAATGGATTTTGTTTGGGCCAAGTGTGCGTTTTCATTCTTACTTCTTCTCAAGCTTTCACGACTGCTCCCCGAACGGGATGACGAGAACCAAGAGCTTCTTGAGCATGGAAATCGGTTATTGTATGAGTTGAACAAAGCCGGTTCGAATGGGAGTCATTCTGGAGCGGGAAATATTTATCTTCAGATCTTGAAGGTAAGTATCGAGAAGTATGGTCGGGCTTTGCAGGAATCCCAGCAGCCCAGTAGCGGCGGTGGCGGCGGCTCTACGGCCACATCGCCATTCTGGGAATTGTTTGATGCCCAGGCAGACCTTCAGTGGTTTGTGCCGGAACAGTTTGTGTCAGAGTGGGATTTTCCGGGATTGAATTTGTTTTATTTCCCCACTGCATGGCAGGATTTCTTCGGAGATTTCTCCTTGGCTATGTAATATACTAGTACGAAAAGTCATGCTCAGGTGTACGTTCAATTGAAAGGAGATCTTTAGAACTTGATTTGAGAGATGTATTCGAGTGGACATTGCCTCCTTTACTTTCTCACGCCGGACCTCGCTCATACAGTCCACCCTCGAAATCATAGCCTATTTGACTTTTTCCAAGTCATTTCCAAAGTATTCGATCGCCCCACGGGTAATGTTGGACTTTCGATCACCCAACTGAGGATGGTGAAACCACTTTTCCGTAGTCAGTTGGGCATGTACATACAACAAAACTATTGAGACTCAACAATCTAGCTCCAATAAATCTCTGTATCTCTCACCCAGACACGGTATGAGCAATAGCTTTTGAAAGGCATCCAGTCGTCCCGGAACTTGTCCCTCTTGCCAACCTCTCGCAAAATCACCATAGAGTACAATTTCAGATCGCAATTGGTCCGGTTCCGCAAACCATGAAGCACTTGTACTGAGATCCCATAGGGTAGTTTTGGATGTGAAGGGCAGTATACTCATTGCCCTGACATTCGGACAGCACCCGGTTTTCAGTGTCAGATACAAGCTCTCAATCATCATGACAAAAATTATTGTTCTTCGAGCGCTCTCTGCAAATATCCATTCTCGCCATGTGAGCGCAGGGGTCAGCTCTCCGGCTCGCTCTTGTAATTGAAAGGTCCAGATTTTCAATGTATTCATGTGTTGTTCTGCTAATGAGCGCTGTCGAATATCACCATCGAAGAGCTGAATTATTTGAAACAGCATCAGTGCATGCACTGCGGCGAGGAGCTGGGGCAGGATACTTGTGTGGTGATCCTGATCCACGAGGTTGGTAGTCTTGCTTTCCAGTATACGAAATATCAGATCCTCTGTTTCTGATGTCTTGGTACTATAAGCTGCCAAAACTGTAAAAGCATCTTGAATAGAATCGGGCAAGTATGCATCGTAGAGGCGGGAATGAATGAATGGTGTTTTTCGAGAGCTAACAAACACCTGCGGGTAGCGTTTGATATTATGTAACAGTTGATTGGTTGACCATTTATCTATGATGGTGGTTTCTGGGAAAAATGCAGCTGGAGATAGTGATGGTAGGGTGAGCAGAGAGGGCATCGAAGTAAGCCATGAGGTAGCAACGCTCGTATCGTTGGATGCAAAGTCATTTAACGGCCAAAATGATAGAGTCTCATTGGAAACAGGGGATAATTCTGGCCCCACATCCGAAATATGTGATGATTCCAACTGTCTCGAGCCATTCCGGCGTTTTTGCCGGGGCCATGCACTCAGGTAAGTACACACCAGCCCCTGGGCAAGACACCGTGAGCACTGCGGAGTCTGACGATTGCAACGCCGCTTCCCCTCGGCGCAAGCTATACATGACTTCTGCCGTGAGCGCGCATATGGCGGTCTGTCAGCCATGATCTGTATTGTTACGAGAAAATTAGAAAGATGCCACAGAGGGGTAGCACCGCAAGGAAAGTAAGACTGTGCTGACAAAAACCCGCAGAACTCCGCAAACTCCGCAAAAACTCCACAGCCCAACTACGCACGTGCAAATTCCAAAATCCGCAATTGAGAGTATGGCAGATATGTAAGCATAGTTCAAGTTTGGATTTGAATATATATAAAGGAGCCAAATCGATATCATGGATTCTCTAGTATACTACCCTTGTAAAATTAAACATAACATTTCCTCCTCTGCAATGGCCATCACTGAGCTTATCTTTCCAAGCGTCAAAACCGACTCAGCTTCACTCAAGGAGCTTGAACGAGACTGGCCAAGCTTGAGCAAAGGATTGACCGATCCTAACCCCGGCCTGCTCTACGCTTTCCGTGGATGGATTTTGACAGAAGATGGACTGGATGTAAGAGAGGCCTATAGAGAGTTCCTTCTTTTTGGTAAGTTCGCCTGGTGCGTCTAATTTGAGCATATCTGATACCACATAGAGTGGAACTCAGCCGATTCTTTCCACGCCTTCATCGGCTCGGAACAATTTGCTGCTTTTGCTGGCTCTATTAGGCATTTGGTGACTGGGCCGCCTACTTTGCAACTATTTGAAACAAAGTTCTCCCCAAGAGATGCAGCTTCGGCGCCTTTGGTTGAAATAATTCGGGTGAAGGTCTCCAGCTCTGAGAATGCCGAGCAAAGCCTTCAAGTGTGGGAGAAGGCATCCCATTATCTGGCTGGCAATGGAGAGAGCACGACTTCTATCACCTATGGCAAAAGCTCGAACCTTGAAACGGATGTCATTATGTGTATCATAGGATGGCAAAACGAAAAGGTAAGGTTTAGACTCCAAGCTTCCATAAGGGACATGCTTACCATTAACAGGAACACCATAACATTTCCGAAGAGAAGATCTGGTCGGAAACGATGGAGTCTCTCAGGTCGCTGGGGAAAATGTCACGGATAACTGTCGGGATTGAGGCAATGAACCTGGGTGTGTTGTAAGATGTTGAGAATTTGCTTTCCCTGGGAGTTGCTGTTGAGAGGCCGGTAGCTCTCAGTCAGTCCGCCCGCACCGCACCCATGTAGATAAAGCAGATAGTTTCGTGTTCATGCATCAAGATCATCATCCATCATTCCTCATTCCACGTCCTCCATTAGCTGCTGGGATAAGTTCCACAAGGTGGATCGCACGTACTCGGTCGAATAACTTAGAGTCCAAAACAAAAACCCGAAAACTTCGCCCACAATATCGAGGTATTCCAGCTGTGCGCAAAGACCTAAGGTCTCAGTTTTGTGATAACCTGATGATCCCAGGGTACTTTGACTTGAATGCCAGCGTGGCTTATCACCTTAGCCTGTAGATTAGAGAGAAGGTGCTCGAGAAGACCATCTAAGCCGAGCATTTGGGGGCCACCTCTAAGGCCAACCATCTTTACAGCGCCATCGACATGATGCTTTAACATGTTTTCATCATGCGTAAATAACTAGCGATTGTCAGCGTTGTTTGTAATTCGCATGAGATGCATTACCTCGTCATAGGCTAGCATTATCGCCTTTGCAACAGTCGAGTCACTATAGACTGGTGCCTCCGTTGAGATCGCGTCTCTCAATGCCTGCAGGCTTTTGAGCTTATATTGGTAGCCCAACCGCGTAAACAACTGTCTCTGTTGTTCTTGATTCGAGTTATGGTAGCTCGCAGATAAATTCCGGCACGACGCAAGAAACAATACGTCTAGCAGACTTGCTTCTGTCTGCGCAAGCGGTATCCATAGATTTGTCATGTGTTGGGAGAAGTCGATTGGGAGCTCAGTGCAGCGCATTAGGGGAATTATAGCTGTTATATCTTTGGAAATTGGTATCTCTGCATCAAAGCCGGTGTTTAGGTCCAACATACAGTGATCAAATAGCATTTGCTCCAATGGCTTCAAGGGCCTTGCAAAGGTAGTAAAGGGGTCTTTCCGGGAAGCCGGAAGTATAGTGAGGATATTAGTTGGCTTGCTTAACCTGAACCTTACATCATTCAGCCCCCATTCACACTTATTCTGCGCCTGATATTGTGAAGTCCGGAGGCGCCGTTCCCGGGCATGTGCGGAGCGCGCAGCGTGCGAACGGGCGACCCTCTGTTGCGATGTGGTTAATGTTGCTGCTTCAGGGGCTGTGATAATATATTGCAGTTTCTGCAAAGGCATCGTGAGGTAGTTTTTCCGCTGTAGTAGGTTGAGTAGCAAAATTTCCCAGAGAACTTAAAAATAATGAAGGGCTTATGGCACCGCAGTATGACTCTGAACTGCTGATAAAGCGCGAGGCTAATAATAAATAGGCTAAATAAATGGGCCAATTTTAAGTTTCGCCAAGACCTGCGCCTCCCAGATTCGGCATAGATCTAGACATACTACATGTCAGAGCAACTTCGTCGCCTCAGTCATCATTGCATGGACAAACACGATTCCCAAAAGGCAATGGAAGTTAGGAGCTTGCTGCTTAAGTCCGACTGTGAGTTTGTGTCTCAGTAAGGCTAAGTGGTAATGACCAATGGTTAGAGCCTGAACTAACTTGCCAAGGCGGGCACCTACTAACTGCAGGATAGATTACCGACCAGAAAAATGTAGTTTCCTTTCTGTCGAAGAAGGTGAATCGGAGTTACTAAGTCTGCATATATGATCCGACTGAATCGGCCAGGTTTTCAGTCTATATAAACAGCGAGCTTCTCACAGAATTATTCATTGAAAAACTCCATCTATAAGTTTCACCTAACCATGAATGGAACAGTTGTCATCACCGGAGCTAATGGCTCCCTGGCCCTTGGATTTGTCGAATCTTTCTTATTCGAATACCCTCAGCATACCTTGATAGCCACCGTTCGAAACCAGTCTCCAGAAAAAGACCCTAACACCGCCAAGCTTCTACGCCTGGTTGACAAGTACCCGAAAGCCAATTTTCACTTGGAAGCTCTTGACCTCGGCCGTCTAGCTACCGTTAGGTCCTTTGCTGAGAAGCTATCAGCCCGGGTTGCCTCAAAGGAGCTTCCTCGGATCACAGCGATTGTCTGTAATGCCTGCGCATGGTCGCTCGAGTCGGGGCAGAAGTTTACGTTGGATAATTACGAGGCTACCTTCCAAGTCTGTCACCTATCTCATTACTTGTTGGTCCTGAAGCTGCTCGGTAGCATGGATACCACATCCGGACGTATAGTCATGCTCGGATCCATCACTCATTACGCCGATAAACCGAACCCCTTGTCTTCGCTTGGACCATGCTTCCCTGACAAATTTGAAGAACTGGTCAAGCCAACGTTAGACCCTACGAATCTTGTCCATGATCGTGGATTCCAGAGATACGCGACAGCTAAACTTGCAAACGTGACGTTTGCAAATGACCTCAACGAGCGACTCCAGAAAGTATGCATGTCCTGGTGTTGAGCATCCAAAAGCAATTGACTCACATATTCTGATAGGATCCCAATCTGTCACACATTACCGTAACGGCCATGGACCCCGGTGGTCTTCCTTCGTCAAGAGCTCAAGCGGGGCAGAAGAAATCTACCAGGGCTCTGATGGGAACAATAAACTTTCTCATGCCGGTCCTCAAACATTGTACTACAGTATTCCGCACTACGGAGGATGCTGGTCGCGACCTGGCCGCTGTGAGCGCTGATCCCGCATTTAGGGGGAAAAGGGGATACTATGTCGGCCAAAATATAGGCTCTGCAGCGCCAGTTAGCCAAGATCCTGACATGCAGAAGAAGCTCTGGGAGTGCTGCTGGGGGTGGGCAGGCCTAACACCCGCGGAGACTGTTCTTCAAAATACCCTATAAAGTTGATTTGTTTGAAGAGCTGTTACTAGGTTGTGTGATAATATAGCTTCATTTTTTCACTCCACTCATAATACAAGCCTGTTCAATCTTTGCCAGTGCTATTGCAGAAGTAACTAAGTAGTGTACGTTTCTTTCACTTTAATCACTTGTAGTACTAACTAGCCAGTATACCCTACACTTATAGAGCGCCGTACTTGACGAGCTCTACGGTTGGTTTGAAAATAATCATATATTGGGTTATGTATCCCAATAATACTCAGATGCCATAGATACAGACCAGTGTAACCTCTAAAAAGCTATTCTAACTTTTGTGCGGCACCCATCGATTTCCTGATGAACCGGGTGCTGGATATCATACCTAAACCCCAAACAAGAAAGCAGATTAAGTCATCATGAACAAGTCTATGCAAGGGCCTTCATGGCGAGCTCGACACTATAAAAATTGTCAGTAAGTGAAAAAGACGAGTGGATTGGGGGCAAGACATACACAACGAAAGTTCCGGCAGAGACAGGCATCGCCCTCAGCAGGGTAGGCGCAATACCCTTCCAGAAACCACCCAGACCCTCGATAGCGTAGGTCTTAGCGAAGCAGTCACGCATGCTGCTGTACTTCTGGGTGGCGCCGAATCCATCGGTCTGCATCTTACTCTTGATCACATCGAAGGGGTAGCTGGACAGCCAGAGAGCCTCACCAGCCAGACCACCGTAGGTCGCGACCTTGACTGCGGAGATATCCTCACGTTTGATGTTGTTGCGCTTAGCATCCTGGTTCATCATGTACTCGAAGGCCATGAACCAAGAACCGTAGGCCTGGGCCTCACGCAGAATGGTGACGGCCTGCCCGCGGTAGAGACCGCGCAGAGCGCCGTTGTGCGAGGAGAGCTTGCGAATGCAGTCGATCGGGCCATCGTACAAACGACCGGCACCGTGAGGCTGGGCCTGCAGGCGGATACGCACGTGCTCGATGGGACCGGACAGAACGGAGTTGGTCACACCGGCGAACGAACCGGCCATGTAGTATTGGAGATAAGAGAGGGAACCATCGGCGTACTTCTTCTGGTTCAAGGCCTCCAGGCGACGACGGGCCTCGTGGAAAGCACCGAACTGGACACTCACCTACAAAGTTGGTTAGTCTCGGTGGTTGGTGGGGGGAGGGGAGGGGCGTCGGAGTTGCAATTGTGACTTACACAGGCACCGATACCAATAAGAGGAGTCAGAGTTCCTTTGTAGAATGCAGCAGGGCCCTCGGTCTTAAAGATCTGCTTGGCGCACTCTGCGGCGCTGGAGTATTGAGTGGTGGTTTGCAGGCGCACCTTGACGATATCTGGGGTGGGTTAGCGGGGTGCGATTGAGACGAATGAGACTGGCGATTGGGAAGAAAGCGATCACGAACCGAAAGGTTGACCTAGAGACAAGTTGTATTAGCAATTGCTTCAATCAATTGGGAGGAGGGGAGTTGAAGAGGTCTCAGGTATCCTGTGAGCCCTCGTCACACACATACCCAGCAGAACCTGAGCTATTCCACCAGCAGCGCCCGCGGCCAGATCCTTAACGGTGCGCAGGGCGTCGGCGCCCTTCTCAATATCCTCGAAAGCCGGGGACTCCATTGTGATGTGTGTAGGGGTATCCACTGGGTGAGGAAGAGGAGAAGAGATCACCCCGGACTTCTGACTCCGGACTTTATAAGTATGAGAGGGCAAGTTATCAGGGACAGCTTATCGAGATGGCGCCATCCGCACGCTGATTGGCGGGGAGCGCCGAGGGAAACGGGTTTGCCGTCGGGAAACTAGTTACGTAAGCCGTGCTTGCCAAACAGCCGCAAAAAGGGTGGAGCTGGACATGAGCAGCGCAAGTATGCACAGGCGCGCGGTTTTACGGGTACGTTCTAGTTCTAGCTTTGCATCGCTTGCATTGAGTCCGGTAGCGGTTACTCTCTGATATCTGATATACTGACGGATTGCCTTCCTTCTCCTAGTTCCCGCGCCGAGTCGATTTATATTCGACTCCCAGTCGGTCCTTTCGTTCGTCCGCTATCCGATCCAATTCTGCTGGCTCTGGCTCTGGCGATGGAGATGGAACTGCTTCGAGCTCATCGGCTCCAGTTCCCAAGTTTGGGAATCGATGGGGCCCGAAATTAGTAACTAAACCGACGGGGTTGAGTGCCGCTGAGCAGACGTTACGCGATTCCCTTAAAGCTGCAAGTCAACCACCTCCCAAACCAGAACAACCAAAACACCGACCCCGAGAACGAAGGCCATTTGAGAGGCATCCGGGGGCTACAAGGAATGGCCCCGGTGACCACTCACTCAGATCCCACGATAAGCCGACCTCATTCCGACGAGATCGTGTTCGCGAACGACATGAGCGTGAGCAGAATGGACAGCTCCCACGAAACCAAAGACAATCGCAAGAAAGGAGAGACAACGATTGGACGTGCAAGTCATGCAATGGCCATGTCTTTGCTAAGCATGTCGCTTGTCCATTCTGCAGTGCACCTCGACCGGATGTCGCTCGCCGGCGCGAGCCGCACACCTTTTGGAAAGATAGAACACCCGCTGGCCGGAAGGGTTTGGGCAAAGACACTTCTCCGGATGCAACGGCCATGAAGTACCGGGGACTGAAGGATGAATTAGAGGAATCGAACGCCGACGAAAAGGAACAACAACAACAACCGCTTGATGCTGTATCAGAGGCAGAGGCGAAGCTGGAAAGACAAAAAAGAAAGGAGGAGAGATTGAAGGCAAAGGAGGATCAGTGGAACTGGGATATGTCTGCCTTGGAGAAGCTGGAAGCCAAGGAAGCTCTGGAGCAAGCGGCTTCATCCAAGAAGTCCGGACGCAAAGGTCAACGCCCGTCCCAGTCCGAGGGAGACGATTTTGACCCAGAGGAGCATGAACGACTTCGTGAGGAGCGCAAGCGGCTCAAGAAGGCCAAGGCAGACAAGAAGAAGGGGAGATCTGCAAAGGTCGAAGCAGCTCCCACGCCCATCTACCTTCCGGAGTTCATCAGCGTCAGCAACCTGGCCGACGTCGTTGGTGTACGTCCCAACCTATTCGTGCAGCGCATGGAAGAAATGGGCTTTGAAGATGTCATGTACAACCATGTTTTGGACGCGGAGACTGCTGGCTTAGTAGCCGCAGAGTATAACTTCGAGGCTCTCTTTGATACAGAGAACCCCGACCTTCAGGCTGCACCGGTGCCAGAAGACCCCTCTTTGCTCCCATCACGCCCTCCTGTTGTCACCATTATGGGCCATGTCGATCACGGAAAGACTACTATTCTGGACTGGTTGCGCAAGTCATCAGTCGCGGCCACTGAACACGGCGGTATCACCCAGCACATTGGTGCCTTCTCGGTGCCTATGCCTTCGGGAAAAACGATTACCTTCCTTGACACTCCTGGTCATTCTGCGTTCTTGGAAATGCGCCGCCGTGGTGCTGATGTTACCGATATTGTCGTCCTCGTTGTGGCCGCCGATGATAGTGTCAAGCCGCAGACCATCGAGGCTATCAAGCACGCAACCCAGGCTAATGTTCCAATCATTGTCGCAATGAGCAAGATTGACAAGGAGGGTCGTGACCCCGACCGAGTCAAGCAGGACCTTTCTGTTCACGGTGTTCACGTGGAAGACTACGGTGGAGATGTTCAGGCCATTGGAGTGAGTGGTAAGACTGGGGAAGGAATGATTGAACTGGAGGAGGCGATCGGCGCCTTGTCCGAGATGCTCGACCACCGTGCCGATACTGCAGGCAACGCAGAGGGTTGGGTTCTCGAAGCGACCACCAAGAGCTACGGCCGTGTGGCATCTGCTCTTATCCGCCGTGGTACCCTGCGCACTGGTGATGTTATTGTTGCCGGTGAAACTTGGGCTCGTGTCCGTACGCTTCGCAATGAAGCCGGCCTTTCCATTGAAGAAGCTACCCCCGGCATGCCTGTTGAGATTGATGGCTGGAGAGATCAGCCAGCCGCTGGCACCGAGATTCTCCAAGCCCCCACTGAACAAAGAGCCAAGGAGGTCGTGGAGTACCGCCAGGATCGCTCCGACAACAAGAAGCTAGGCGAGGATATGGAAGCCATTAACGTGGCCCGACGAGAAGCTATGGAGAAACGCAGGCTTGAGGATATGGATTCCGACGAGGCAGCTACTAAAGCGGCTGAGCCGACTGGCCCCAAGCCAGTGAACTTCATCGTCAAGGCCGACGTCGATGGTTCCGCCGAGGCAGTTCTGAACTCGATTGCCGCCATCGGAAACAATGAGATCTACGCCAACGTCATCCGCTCTGGAGTCGGTCCAGTGGGAGAGTTCGATATCGAACACGCTGCCAGCGCCAATGGTATCGTGATCTCCTTCAACATGCCCATCGACAATAACATGATGCGTATGGCTGAGATGGAGGGCGTCCAAATTATGGACCACAACATCATCTATAAGCTCATCGACGACGTGAAGGCCAACCTCAGCGAGCATCTTGAGCCAACAGTCACCCAGCGTGTGACTGGTGAAGCCGAGATCGGACAGATTTTCGAAATTACCCTTAAGGGTCGCGAGAAGACCGCGATCGCGGGATGCCGTGTTCGTAACGGTATGGTTCAGAAATCGCGGAAGGTCCGAGTGACCCGTAATGATGAAACCATCTTCGACGGTAAGATATACCCGCAAATCTATATTTCGAAACTTCCTACTAACATCTCCCAGGTACCATGAATTCCCTCAAGAACGTCAAGAAGGATGTCACCGAAATGCGCAAAGATACTGAGTGCGGTATTGGATTCGAGGGCTGGACTGACTTCGCGGTTGGCGATCATGTCCAATGCTACGAAGAGATCTTTGAGAAGCGGTATCTCTAAGAATCTTCGTTTTTAGATGTTGACGTGTGCATGTAATTATATCTTTGTACTATATTCTGCTTTTCGTGTCTGCATGTGGTGGAGTTTGTTTGCAATCATCAATGGATATAAAAAGGCACACTTGTTAATAGGACAATACATCGCTCTGATCTTAAATCAAGACAATTCAAGGTTCCTTCCAAGGTTTCTTCGCATTGCGATATTATACTATCTATCGACAGCGGTCATACTGCTACTAGTCTCGCAGGCACTACTAGTATTGAAAAGCCAGTTTCCGCTGTAACAAACCACATAGGCATCTTAGCTAGTATGGACAGCTCGGAAAATACCTATTTTGCCTTCCACCGAACTCTACCAACCCACCTAGCCCAATCCTGTACATCCTCCCTCTCCAAAATCCTATCAACGGTAAACCACTCCCTCGCCAATTCCTCATTACTAGCCATGCGGTGCACAAAACTATGACAAGCCCGACAAAGCCACGCAACACTATTTAAAACCCACTCCTCATGCCACCCCCTCTTCATGACCTTTGCATGCACACCGCGCGGGATAAGATGATGATACGACAGTGGGATCCAATCGCGCTCGCAAATCTCACACGCGTCTGTCCGTGTGTTCGCCCACGCGGGAGGCCCAGTCGTCACGCTTGAAATGTACTCGCTCAGCACGGGTGATATGAATTCTGGTAGATCATTTGCGTCTGGTATGAGGCCGTATACGGAGAGAGTGTCTGTTACCTCGACCGGGATCGGGGAGCAGAGATTGTCCAGGACAGTGCGATTCATTGGAGTGTCTTGGTTTTCTGGGACGTAGCGGGCTTTTAAAACTGCATCGTTTTGGATTGCGGAGTAGGAGAGCGTTTTGAGATCGTCGGGGAATGTCGTGAAAGTTTCACTGGCTATAAACTGGAGATGGATGGCATTAGCTTTGCGCTTGTGGGAGGTGTTGCGTTGAATTGATCAGTACGTCAATAAACTCAGCCAGTTCTTCTGGATCCGCTCGTTCATGCTTTATAACGACTTCTGTGCTGGTCACGTCTTTGCGTCCATTGCGTTTTGCTTTGCCCCGCCGTTTGGAGGTCTTTGGCTGCCCTTCGGAACGGGCGACGATGGCGCTCGAGAGACACTCTCGGAAGATGGTGTAGTTATCATCGGAGGTCATTGGGTATGTAACTCTCCCATTGTGTCCGGAACGCGTTCCCTGGGTTTATCCTTGTGCGCGGTTGGGATTGAGTAGATTGATTGGAGGTGGTTGGAGGTTCTGCCCCGCGCCACGGACGCTTGACATCATCCGCATCCCTCGGTCCTAGCTAGGCCTTCGCACAGCTTGTTCAACCTGACCAACAGCATTCACCATGGCAGACAAAACAATCGTGGCTTTTGATTTGTATGGCACGCTGCTGTCTACAGAGTCCATTGCAAAGCAGCTAGAGAAGCATATCGGTCCCAAGGCAGAGGCTGTTTCCGCTCTCTGGAGACGATATCAGCTGGAGTATACCTGGAGGCTCAACAGCATGGGTAGGCAACTAGCACCCGGCATTCGGAGACGGCTATTAACCATGAGCAGAACGCTACGAGGATTTCTCGATCGTTACGAAGAATGCGCTGGTTCACGCTCTGGCCGAGCACGGCGAGCAGTTGAGCGACGGCAACATCTCCGCTTTAATGGAGGCCTACGACCATTTATCTACTTTCCCCGATGTCAATCCTGCTCTTATTCGACTATCAGCCGACGCGAGTATTCAACCCGTGGTGTTCTCCAACGGATCCAAGACCATGGTCTCCAACTCTGTCCTGCGATCGAAAGACCTCTCCGCGCACGCCAGTGTATTCCAAGATCTCATCACGGTCGACGAGGTCAAACGCTACAAGCCATCGCCCGCGAGTTATCATCATCTAGCCCATAAGATGGGCAAACAGGAATCACAGATGGACCAAATTTGGCTCATCAGTGGTAACCCATTCGATGTTGTTGGGGCACGGAGTGTCGGGATGCAGGCGATCTGGGTTGATCGAGCAAATAGGGGATGGCAGGATGCGGTGGCACCAGGGCTACGGCCGTCGGCGATTGTACACAGTTTGGAGCAGATCGTCCAGGAGATTCAGGGTCGCAGATAGTCGAAGCGTTCATAAACACGCCCCGAGAGGGATGAAAAAGGAATGTACCGCTGAAAAATATTTCCAAACGCTCCACGTCACAAAGAAGAGTTTGGGGTAAGCCAGCAGAATCGTTCTATCCTCCCATTTCCCCTCTAAGAACCCATTGAGAGATGTGGTTTCCTGAGTGAATAAGGGAGGAATTCAGTTTTGAAGAAGAAAAGAAAAGGGCCCGCGCGTTGCAAAAAAATTCGCCTTTAATAGTGGGAAACACGTGACTTGCTATCGATAAGTGGAGCTCCAAACTGCGGAGCTGCCTTGACATTTCCAGGCAGCCTGCGGCATCAACTCTGCTCTCCACTCTCCCCCATAACTCATTGGGAACTCTCCAAGATGCCTCGCATCTTCGACCATACCAGGTCGGCTTGGTTATATCCTATCCGGGTAGGCTCCCATTCCAACTACTCTCTTCCATCTCAACTAACTTGTCCCAGGGTATCTATTACTTCGCAACCCACCGTTTCCTTTGGCCCTTATTCAAGGCTCGCCTTGTTCCGATCGTCCTCCTGTCGAGCTTCGTTTACTTCCTACTCTTCTTCTTCACATATCTCCCTCAAGTTGCATTTTTGTCCATCTTCCAAGGTGCTGGAGCCTGGATCAATGGTGCATTCTTGGTACTAGGTGAAGGTGCCGCGATTGTCGCCGCCTTGTTCGAAGCGTTCTTCGTTGATGAGACCCTCGTGGATATATTCGATTCGGTTCTCGTCAATGAGGGTCAGGAAGAGCTTGTCCTGGCCTCCCGCGTCATCTACCCGGAGGGCGATGACCCAACGAATCGTCTCGGTACTCCGACCACCAGCGCCGTCTATTCGCCGTTCTCGCTCCGACAGATCCTCGAGTTCATCCTCTTACTCCCACTCAACTTCATCCCCGTGGCCGGAACTCCTATGTTCCTCGTGTTGACCGGCTACCGGGGAGGACCTTTCCATCACTGGCGTTATTACCAGCTACTGGACTATTCCAAGCAGCAACGAAAAGAGAGTATCAGCAGGCGCCAGCTCCAATATACTACGTTCGTCACCTTCCATTGATCTGAAATCCCTCAAACCCTGACTCGGGCTAACCAATATATTATAGGTTTGGAACGATCGCTCTGCTCCTGCAGTTGATCCCACCATTTTCGATGCTCTTCCTGATGACTACAGCAGCCGGTGCCGCGTTGTGGGCGTCGGACCTCGAGACTAAGCGGCAGCTTGCAGAACAGCGACCAAGGCAACTAGGTGACAGCTATCATGATGATTATACAGCATAATGTCTAATTCTACGCGAAGCGTCCATATTTATTTTACCAATCCAGACCCTTTTTCGGCATCTCCTGTCGCGCCACCCCCTTGAAATTTAGCTGTAGTATAAAAAGTGGGTAAACAAGTTTTGGTCGATCTCTTAAAATGGACCTGCGAATGGTCCTCTCGGATTGAAACCAACTTGAACTTTAGTCTTTAATTGAACCCTCGAACCCTCCGGAGGGATTACGTGCTGCACGTGACTTTCCCCGAGGGCCGGCGACTGCGACTGCGACTGCGACTGCGACTCTCCGTTGTTTCACTCTGCGATTGATCTTGATCTCCTGCAGAGTAAATTGGGCAAATTGAAATTATTATTCAGGCCATTGCAGATTGGCTCCGGAGTCATTACGGCCATCCCTCACGACATTCACCCGCCCAGATTGACATCGCCTAGTCGGCTGACCGCTTCTGGCCGAGGCTCTTTGTACCTGGCCGAGTTCTGCGAAGCTTCGCAGAAAAAGCTGGCATCCGGCTGCCCGGCAATTTGTGGAGAGAACCCTCTCGCATAACTCTGGGGACCATCGGCCCGAACTCCCACATAACTCCTGCGAGCGAGTGGGTCAATCCAGGGTCCCCCGCAACGCGTGGATATACGGGACTTTTACCTCAACTGATCTCACCACTCTACAGTCACGACCATGGTCTGAGTGTACGGAATATGAGCGCTTTGCTTGAGTATATAGCTCACGAATGGACCCAAAAACAAGGCTCCGCAAGGCCTGCGATGCCTGCAGCATCCGGAAAGTGAAGGTTCGTTTTGCACCTGTCAAACCCTGCCTCGTCCAGTTGCTGATCTCCTTTTTCAAGTGTGATACTGGGGGCCCACCATGTCGGTCATGTGCTACTTTGGATATTCCATGCACATATGAAAGGCCGAGTAGGCGCCGGGGACCTCCTAACCGCCATGCCGAGGCGCTGAAGAAGCAGAAGCTGGAGACGGTTGCGTCGCCGACAAGTCTATCCGACTATCCGCTAGCGAACACACCGCAGACTCAACCTGCATCTACGCCTACGCCGGCACCGGCAGCTCTGCCCACGCCTGTATTCTCGGGGCCTGCCTCCTCAGCTTCACTTTCAGCAGAAGCTATCTGCTCTCTCCACACGGTGCAACTTCTCCTTGATGATTTCTTCACATACATCCATCCTTTAGTCCCGATCCCTCACGAGCCTACGTTCCGTGCGGCCTTTGACCGCCGGGAGGATGCCTCTAGCGGTACCTTTCTGGCTCTTCTTGCTTCCATGATCGGGTTTCTAGTCGCCTCCTTCCCCCGGCGGCCGAAATTGCGCCTGAATACGGAAGCGGAACGTTCCGCCTTTCCAAATTCGATTGCACTTGTCAAACGATGCCATGATGTTGCTATCCAAGCTCGAGGCGTTGGGTATCTCGATCGAAATGCGACTGTTTACGATGCAGCCATCAGCTATTTCCTGGGCGTTTGTGCCGGCTACATCTACAGCATGCGCCGTTGTCGTATCTACCTGGCGGAATGTCGCACTATGTTGCAGGTTTACGATCTTTGCCGCGCCCCTACGCCTGCTCCTACCATGGCAGCAATGAACGCTACCAGTCCAATGTCAACAGCGTCGGGAACCTCACAAGATCAGCAAACACAGCATCTTACGGATAACAAACCCGTAGATTTAATCTCTCAGGAACTTGGGCGGCGACTCTTCTACGTTTCGCTAGTGGGGTATCAAAGCCTGCTCCAACTTGGCTCAGCCGATATCAGGATGCACGTCCCACCAGAAACCCCAGCAGATCGTTATCCACCATATCCGCTTGAGGTTGATGACGAGTTTCTATTTCCAACTCATATAAACCCCCAACCCGCTGGCCGTGTGTCAATAATGGTCGGGTTCAATGCCAATGTCCGTGTCTATGGTTCATACAATTCTCTCCTGGCGTGGGAGACGGCATTCGGCAGTGGTCAAATATTCGACTGGGAACACCAACGCTCATCATTATGGGGGTGTCTTCAAACGGTTAAGTCTGCTCTACTCAAAGTTCCAGTTGAACTATCACTCTTCCATCCCAAACGAGCCTCTGCAAGTGGATTAGCCGGACACGACGGAGTCGGCTCGGTGTTCAATTATCCAGTGGACCACATCTACCAAGAACGACGCGCAATCCAGTATGAGATTCAGAAGGCGAATATTTACGCCAGCCAGCTATGCACCAGGTCATGGCTGGTTGAGAAATATTGGAACCTGTTCGAGACATACGCGAAGTATGGCAATCTAGCAAGACCTTCGATCCCAAACCCCGCCATGCCGCATTTCACTACGAAGACCGAGGGGTCTGCGGAAACAACATCAGCTGAAAAGCCTGGAGCTTCGTCAGATTCAGCTGCTCAGATATCAATAGAGGCGCAAACAGATCGCATCGGCCAAATGATGGCAGAAGAGCGGAAACTCGTCATCAAAGATCTCTTTGTGCTTCTGCGGACCGTCAACGAAGTCAACATGGAACCAAATGGTGCCAGCATCGTACGTTAACTCTTACGCCAAGCTTTCCATTCCAATGAACTAACAACAAGCACAGACAGGAAAAATCCGCCAAATAGCCTCTACCCTCCTCAACATGCCATACTACCCACAACCGACGACCCAAGATCCAAATTCAAATTCCGCCATCCCACCCGAAAACCCACCCACCGAACCCGCAACAGAAAACCACCAACCCAATCCATCCTCAACCGATGTCCCAATTCTCACACCTGCAGAAGCAGAATCCTACCTCCACGCCTTCATCGACACCCTCATCCGACTCGAAGGCTATTCATCAGCGGCGACGGATCCCGGCAGCGTAATTGAGGGTGTGAGCCCGCGCGCTAATGGGCGGGCTATGAGTTATCTTAGTGATTACGAGCGTGATCAAGAGGAGTTGAGTCAGTGGGCTAGTTTGAAGGAGTATCAGCAGAAATTCGCTGAGGCTGGGGGTGTTTTGTCAGAGTTGTAAATTTTTTTTATATAAGGACTGGATTATCTACGGTCTTGAAAATGTACTATTTAATTTTCAAATATTGGATCCGTTTACAGTGATGATGGCCGGGTTTCATTTTCTTACTTGGAGTGGAGGCTTACATTTTCAAATTGAGGGATCATGGCCCACCGATAGGTGTCTACTAAGAACTACGAACTACAACTTGTGCACCATTTCAGAAATGTGATTGTATGAAATGTGTAAATACTAATAGAAGTACTAGTACCTAGTGGTATTGGAAGATTGCTCGAAAGTAAAACAAGACATAGCTAATACAAAAGTCATCATGATCTTTCTCAGGCAGGGTAGGAAGCATAGTTTGGACTCAGAACTTGGTCATTTTTGCAGGTTTTTATTCGATAAGATTAAATCAATGGTATCCAGAAAACAGTTTTGCATGAAGAAGAGAAAGAGAAAATAATGTCACACGCAGAACCATCGATCCCCGGCCATTGTCTTAAGCTTCAGCGTTGACGATCAGTGCGCAGTAACAGTCACAGTGTATGGTGCAGGCATGGGAACAACAGACTTAATACCGATATCATTATCAACCTCGCTCGAGCTCGAGCTCAAGCTCAAACCCAACTTGGCATTTGAAGCCGCTTGCACGATCTTCTGGGTCTGGGCGGCAGGTGATCCTACAACGGTGATGGTTGGTGTTATTGTGATGGTTGGGGTAGTCTCAGTGGCGGGGTTGATGGTTACTGTCACCGCGTCGGCTGTCACTGTCACTGTTGCTGGAGGTGTGTATGTATTCATAGACAAGGGGTCGCTGTTGCTGGTGGACGTGGACTTGGAAAGAGACGAGTCGGCAGATGAAGATAAAGATGAAGATGAAGTTAAAGACGAAGACGAAGACGAAGACGAGGACTCGGGCATGAGGGTCGCTTTCTTTGGCGCTGGCGATGATGAAGTGCTCTCCTCTGCCGTTACAGTTATCGTTGATCCCGGGATAATGAGCGTCTGCTCTTCTGTCTTTGTTGATTTGATGGTGATCGTCTCCACTTGCTCTGACGTTGGTGTTGGGGTGCGGGTCACTGTCGCCGTGGTACCGGGCACTGTTACGGTATCCTCTGTGGTTCGCGTGAAATGAACTGTGAGTGTATCCTCTTCTGGGGTCGAATTCGGAGTCGGAGTCCTAGTGACTGTCGCCGTAGTTCCTGGTACAGTGAGAGTGTCTTCGGTCGTGCGGGTGGCCTGGATGGTGACCGTATCTTCATCCGGGGTCGGAGTACGAGTTACCGTCACGGTCGTACCAGGGACGGTGATAGTGTCCTCGGTAGTGCGAGTAGCTTGAACGGTGACTGCGTCTTGTTCCGGAGTCGGAGTTGCGGGGGACGTAACAGGTGAAATCTCGCTTGTATCGAGAGTTGGTGTCGAGCTCAACGTAGATCCTGGGCCGGTGGGTGTGCTGGAAGTTTCAATTGTACCCGAAGCAAGAGAAGTAGTGACCCCAAAGCTTGAACTGGTCGATGCACCAGCTGGAGAAATGCTGCTCATAGTACTTGACGCTGTCGATGAGGCAACTGTTGTCTGGGGAGTAGCAGAATCCGTCTGCGCAGACCCCGATTCCATGGATTCCGGTGTTGCAGAGGTTACCAGTGGATGGACTGATCCCACGCCTCGGAACGTGGAAGAATGAGGGTAAATTGTTAGATGGACGGGGGCAATTGAAACATATGGAGCTTCTTGTTCAGTTGTCGAGGCGACGGTGGTCTTGGGCGAAGAAGAAAGTTCAGTAGCAGTAGATGTCGATGTATTTACCGCCGGCGAAGTGAGCGCAAAGCGCGAGGAAGAGGTTGAAGACAAATGAGAAGAAATATATGTAGAGGATGGAGAGGAGGAAGATAGGGAAGAAGAGAGAGTCTTGGATGGTGATTCTGAAAACGGTAGAAGACTTGAAGTTGTGCGTAATGGTGTAGCAGTAGTAGACGGAGATGAAGTAACTGGAGAAATAGAATGCACAGATGTGGTCGAAGGTTCCCTTGAAAGATCGGAACTAGAATTAGGCGAATCCGGATAAGACGAAGACCCTGGGAGAGATGATGAGGTTGGAGGGGGAGTCGAAGAAAGCCCGTTAGACGCCGACATGGGCGTATATGATGGAGTCACAGCACTAGGTATAGCCGAAGACGACACTAACGGCGATGTGGAGGGGGCTTCGGAAGATTCGACCTCGGTTGATGATGGGTATACAATATCCGGGAAGGTGGAAGAGAAAATGGAGGAGGACACTCCTGCACTGCTGGAAAATGTCGAGCTCGCGGACAGCAGTGGTGACTGTGAAGACGTTGTCGTTGGCGATGGTGACTGTGAGGATGTTGTCTGCACAGTACTCGATGTTGTGGCCATTTGCGATATATGCGTCGAATAATCCGTGGTTGAAATGGCAGACGATGCCGTATCGCTGCTTGAAGAAATGGTCGTTTCCAATGTGGGCGTCGAAGATGAAGTGGTTGAGATTTCTGAGGAAGATGAAGATGAGCCTCCCACACTTGAAGATACGGTCTCTGGCGATGTAGTGACTTGTGAAGGTTTGGTCGAAAGGTCTGCCAAAGCGGAAACCAGTGGTAACATACCCAAAGTTGAGGAAGTAGTACTAGTAGTACTAGTAGTACTTTCTTCCGAAGATGTAGTCAAGACAGTCGTAGCGGGTTCTGTATAACCAGGGTAGCCTGAAGGAGCTGGAACGGGGGTGACTGTGATGTCCCGTCGAACCACCACAGAGGATTGTGGCTGTGACTGTGATCCCTCCACTGAAGCTAGAGGAAGTGAGAAGTCATCCTGGGAAGATACAAGACCTAGCGTCGAAGCAAAAGAACGAAGAATCGGACCGGCCGAGCAGGAACAGGACCACGCCAGCGTGGTGAAGACAGCAATACGGGCGAGGCGCATCGCAGGGAGAGGTAGTATAGAAGAATAAGAGGAGAGACGAGAGATATAAAGAGAGAGATTAACCTGGATCAATCCAAAAAATAAATCGAGATCATGATCGAGGAGGAAGAGTGAAGTGAATGGATGGAGAGAAGATCAACGAGAGTATTGCATGGCCAACTCCAGGCGAATCAAATCAAATCAAGTCAATAAGAAAAATGAATGAAAGTGAATCGCAGCCTAATAATCCCACAAGGCCGCAAGAAATTAAAAGAAGGAAAATCACCAAAAAAAGGACGAACAAATACGAGGCACCCGGGCAGTCCTTATAAAGTGGTCAGTCACTGGGAGATAATATAAAGGATTGTAGCCGCCTGGGCCTGGGCCCAAGCCAGAATTTCCAAAAAAAAAAAAAAAAAAACACTGTCCCTCCATGAGGGCGCTTTGCGAAACAAAAAGTCTAGCTGCAAATAGATTCACGGGAATAGCTCTTTATGACGCGCGCGCGCAACAAAGGTCGTTCGCTGTTGCAGTTGGCGCCCGGGGAGCTGCAGCTGGTTGCTGCGGCTTCTGATTGGCTGTCACTTGGACCCACCGACTTTATTCAAACAATCAACACTCTCTCTGCACCAATCATCGCGAGTATCGGGGGGAATAGGCTAATTATAGCTGCAGCTAGCTTGACAGGTGCAGAGTGCGAATGGCCTGCAGAATGGCTCAGGCTGGTGGTTGAAGCCAGCCCTTTCTTTCATTACGTTAAGTGGCTGGAGTGGTAGGAACCTTGGAAGAGGAATTCCTTAAAGGCCGAAAGAAGCAAGATAAGAAGAAAACGAAAAAAAAAAAAATTAGTGTGACAGCTTCACGGCCTCAAAAGTGTAGTAATCACGAAATACTAAGTATAGAGAGGAGGAAGAGCAACAAAGAACAAAAGACTCAAAAGCACCTGAATGCTTCTGCATGAATGCCTGAGGCAGTATCTCACGCAGCCATTCCCGACCAGACCGACAGGGTTTGAGCGACGTTTTTGTTCAGCTTTATCCATGGAATTTCACGGATTTTTGGTCTTGGTCTTGGTTGGGGAGGTGGAAGGGCGAAGGGCCAGAAAGTGAGATCGAGGATATTTGCAGTTATCTCCTCGTGAAAGAGACCTATCGCCGAGCCCGACAAACTGTTCTGTTATGATGTGAGGCTGGTGCAGATCAGGAACGGAACCGCACCATCGGAATTTATTCCGACGATGCCTATACGAAGGACCAAGTTGATTTCCAATAAACTAGGTCTTATAGCCTCATGTAATTCCCCTGAGGTAATAATAATTAATCTTGAAGTAACAGCAGTGCGGCCCCCCGCTTAAATATGTTTATCTTTTGTTCAATGGTTTATCAAACTATAGTTACTAGATCGTATACAACTTCCGGGATCCAAAGTTTCATAGCATAATTTTCAAAATAAAAATACTGCTTTAGTGAGCCATGACATCGTGAAGCGCCCATCAATTCATTTCCCCCGTCTTTTTCATACGTCAACAGTCCTTGATCACATTCGCTTCCGCGCTCGGTTCTCAATTTTAATCTTTTATCAGATAGATCCTTGCGATTGCTCAAGATCGCGGAGTTGTTCAGCAGCACGAGGGTCAATATATAGTCTACAACAACTCTTCTCTCCCGACCAATTGCGGAGGACCCAAAGTATAAAGCTTGAGAGCGTCAAAGAGGAGTTGAGAATTGAGAAAAATTCCAGAAAAACAAAAAAAAAAACATACAACAGCAGGGATTCTCATGCGGTCACCCACCATACTACTAGACTAATCATTTTTATTCTACGGTGATCTTACCACTACAACAGTAAACGCCTTTACGTTTTTGCCACAGAAAAGGCTCTATAATATCCGAGTATTAAGCTGCAAGATATAAATCGACTCCCATCAATTCAGTAACTAACTACTTCGACAACAATAAGTTCAGATCGTATGGAACATGTTCTGTAGGAGTCTAAAACTTGGCAATCTGGCCCCAACAGACTGATTTAAAGGAGAGCAGTTAAATCCTCATATTCCATCCCTATTCGGCACTGTAACTTTCCACCTCCAAGATGTGAGATAACACCACATGTGACGTCTTGATCAGTCTCACTACTAATCTTCATAGCCATTTCAGTAGTGTTTGTCGTGATCCTTCTTGTGGTCCTTGTCGTGGTCCTTGTCGTGGTCCTTGTCGTGGTCCTTGTCGTGGTCCTTGTCGTGGTCCTTGTCGTGGTCCTTGTCGTGGTCCTTGTCGTGGTCCTTGTCGTGGTCCTTGTCGTGGTCCTTCTTGTGGTCCTTGTCGTGGTCCTTGTCGTCGCGCTTGTCATGATCCTTCTTGCGGTCCTTGTCGTGGTCCTTCTTGTGGTCCTTGTCATGATCCTTGTCATGATCCTTGTCATGATCCTTGTCATGATCCTTGTCGTGGTCCTTCTTGTGGTCCTTGTCGTGGTCCTTGTCGTCGCGCTTGTCGTGGTCCTTCTTGTGGTCCTTGTCGTGGTCCTTCTTGTGGTCCTTGTCATGATCCTTGTCATGGTCCTTGTCGTGGTCCTTGTCGTGGTCCTTGTCATGATCCTTGTCGTGGTCCTTCTTGTTGTCCCAGTCATAGTTCTGATTCTGGCGCTTGTCGTAGTTCTTGTAATAGTCTATGCCATGGTCCTTCTTGTGGTCCTTGTCATGGTCCTTGTCATGGTCCTTGTCATGATCCTTGTCGTGGTCCTTCTCGTGATCCTTGTCATGGTCCTTGTAGTAGCCGTCGTTGTAGGCCTTATCAGGATATCTATCACGAGCGAGCTGGGTATCACGGCCCTCGATTGGACTAGCGATGACGCCTATGGCGAGGATAGAAGTGATCAGCGCGGTGGTAAGACGCATTTTGCTTGATTGAAGAATAATTGTATGAAGTTTCACACAGATATCTGAGATAATAGTAGCAAAAGATATATTGGAGCTGGAGCTGCAACAAAATGTAAAGTCAGATGAGCTACACTTTACAACGACTTTCTCAGGGGATTCTGACCCCATTTTATATGCATTTTAACTACTAGGTAGTATATTGACTCAGCTTCAACTAAGGGAATAATCAAGATGAAATTGTGACAATGATAAAAGCAAGTAGGGGTAGGAATGGACATTCCATCACAAATAACGCAATTGTAAGCAGACATTGCTTCCTAAAAGTCATTCTAACTTAGAATTGATACTACTAGCTACTAGCATATGACAAGTCAAATAGGCACGCGTGGTCCTTCAAAAACTCGTGAGAAATGCCTTAGGAATGTAGGGTGTACTCGGTCAGCAGGCAAAATGAGCAATGTGGCAGAAAAAGCTTGGCGATAGTGTATTCAGATTGGACAGCAGATACAATAGTTAGGTGGGGCTAAAATAGTTATAGAAAATTCTCCGTTAAGTACTGTCACGTTGTCTTACATTCAATCCCTCGGTTCGGACTTTTAACATTTTCTGGGGCGGCCTGTCCACTGCATCATTCTAGAGCATAGGAACAAATAGCACATTCTACAAGTGAGTGGTACCCCTCGCGTGTTTTTGCCTTGGTTAGCATATTATTTATTTTAAGTATACTAACGTATTCAGCCACCAAGTGATGAAAGAAGATGGACAGGTGTTGGAGAATGAATTGCTCTACATAGCCATTTGAGCATTGGCCATGCCAGGCACTAGCAAAGCATGTGATATAGGGAGGGCTAAAGAAGGGTCGCGAATTCTGGTTCTATCCGCCAATCAAATTTATCGCTCTGCCTCTTTTACTGTAGGAACAAGTCGTTGGCTTGCTAGGGGATGGGGTGTCGACAGCAATACGCGTACAGCTCTAGTTAAACCGTAATCTTGGAGTTAGCTGATTGGCGTTTTTTTTTCGCCGGTGTCGCAGTATCCAGCAAATAAACAAACCAGTAACACAGTTCTCGCACCTAGAAACGACACAATCTACTTATGGGAGCTTTTAGACCTCTAGGAGCCATGGTTACATGCCAGGGCAGCGAATCTTGCTTGGGAACCTTAGTATGGGTACGGCAGGGATGATTCTGGCAGCCCATCCTTTTTGCGGGGAGCCTAGACGCGCAGGCGGATATCTCTCGATATTCGATTTCGGTTTCTGGACCCGAGCCACATGATTGGTCACAAGGGCCGCAATGTATTTTCCCTCGACTGAGTGCTGTGCTCTTCGTTGCGCCTGATCTGGATGTGAAAATGCAGTCAGCGGATACCCGGTCCCCGGCACGGGCTTTCTCTGAGACTATAACGCGGGGTGATATGACTGTTGAGACTTTCAAGGAGGTCATGGACAAGAGATGGAGATACAGAGAGGAAAATGAGGCTATGGCTGATGGTTATGCTGCCTCGCAGGATAGTGGTATTGAGCGCCTTATTTGGGCTTAGATGAGCGGCGGCAGGGGATTTCTTCAGTCTCTGGCTAGGTACTACGATACCTAGGTAGGTACTGGAACATGCTGAACATTTATCTCCATATCCTACTAGTATGGTTCATAGTTCAAATTCAATGGAGGGCGAACTGCCAAGTCCATACTTTTACATTTTACGGGGCATTTTAGGTCTGTAGTATTGTGAAATATATAGTAACCTTTGGAACACCATAGAAGCGCCGAATTTCACCCAGATTCCAAGGTTTGCAGTGAATTTGGCACACGAGAAGAGGATAAATCTCAGGCTTAAAATAATATTTCTGAAAAGAGCTACAATAGATGATAGATCCAATCAAGGATTATCTGAAAGAGTTCGCCAAACCAATATTAGCAATAAAGAAAATCAATCCATTATTCGTGATAACCGCCAACTTGAAATTAATACCTACTAAGCCTCTTCCCAGACGTTTTCGGTCAAAACCAGTAGAGATGGTATCAATCAGTCCCATCCAATAACCTTCCGCTCATAAAATCAAGCCTCAAAATGAAAAAAAAACACCCAGCTCTCGATAACTCGAATAACCGCCTATAACTTCGCCTTAACCCCCTCACCCCCACCGACCAACTCATCCTTCGAAAACCGATAAACAACATCCCCAAAAGACCCCGTCGGGAAAACATAAAACCACCTCAAATCCCCGCCTCCTCCCCCAGTCCCAGTTCCAGCGGTAGCAGTATTAACAACTCCATGCTCAGCATTAGAAGGAACAAACACCGTATCCCCCCCCGAACAGGACTAACAACCCCATCAATCGTAACCTCGCCTTCGCCCTCAAGAATATGGTAAATTTCCGCCTGTTCGTGTCGGTGCGCGCATAAGTGGCCTGTTCCTGGCGGACAGACTGCGATGCCGGCGCTTAGGTCTGTGGTTTTTGTTGTTGGGGCTGAGATTAGGGTGTGCCATGTTATGTTGCCGTATTTTGGGGAGGGGAAGGATTCGGGGGTGGTTGTTTTTGTGTATGTTTTTGGGATTATTGTTGGTTTCAAGTTTGATTGGGGCATGGCGGGGGTCTGGAAGTTCTTTTCCCTCTTATTTTCGTGGGGTTTGGTTGAATTGCCAGTGTCCTCTGGTATGGGCCTGGTTTCGCTTGTGTCTGCCTTTGTCTGGTTCAAAGAGAGATAGATTGGATCCATGGATTTTATTGGGACTCGGCGTTCTAGTTTTTGAATGCTTGAACTTGGGCTTGAACGTTTAAGCACCTAGCTTCAAATCTCACTGGCTTTTTTGCTAATTGCCAGCTTGAGTGTTTGCTGGTGTACTCGGGCAGGACGGAATCGGATGGTGCCAGTCAGTAATAGTAGTGGTGTATTGCTCAGATCTATCGAGCATTGCGTTTTATGTATTGTTTTCGGTTGCTTGCCCCACGTAGTACATACTAGTACAGCTCTCCCCCTCAAAGCACGACATGGACTTTCTTTCTCTTTTGAGAAAGCCTTTCCATCCCGCCACTTGCATGGCTAGATGGAGTGGATGGCTGGCTTATAGCGAATCAGCGGAAAATGGAAGTGGGGAGAAGGGTGATGCCAAGCTTATCTATAACAATCGTTCAGTCTAGCCAAGTTTTTGAAGTCTTTGACGGGGTACCGTGATCCATTGGAGTGGACCTTTCTTATTCTTTTTTACTTTTTATTCTTTTTATCTTATCCTTTTCCCCGTCCCAATGCTGAAGGTCCCGAACTTGTTCTGTTCAAAGTTTACAGGATCTACAATCTTAATCTGGACGCGAAGATAGATGGAAAACAAAATATCCATTCGTCCGTGACGGATCTCATGGATGGAAGGATGAATTGTTTTGTATGAGATTTCTTCACAAAAAAACACACGAGAAAATCAGCTCTCTCGCCGAAATTACCTCTGCGCCCATGTTGCCCGTTTCTGAACGCCTTAAGCAATGGAAATGAGTCGGATTCAAAGAAAAGCCAAGAGCAAGAACTAAGCCAAGAGCAAGAACTAAGCCAAGAGCAAGAACTAAGCCAAGAGCAAGAACTAAGCCAAGAGCAAGAACTAAGCCAAGAGCAAGAACTAAGCCAAGAGCAAGAACTAAGCCAAGTGTAAGAACTAAGCCAGATAGATGATCGTTGCCTGGTCGGCCCGACCTAGCCTGATGAGACCGAGAGAGTGAGGGTGGGGTGGGATGCCATTTTAAGTGGATGGATGATGGTGCTAGGTATGGCTGAGCTAGCCCGTTCTTGCCTGCCACTGAGAGAGAAAAGGAGATACCAGTTGATATTACTGCCATGCAGAGAGACAGATGGAGTGGAAAATGAAGAAGGAAGAGAGACAGTTGCACATATGTTATCGTTGTGGGGATCAAAAGTTGACTCAAAAATGATGGAAAGTAAGGCAGTGCAAAGGGGAAACAAGGATAAGAGACGCTGGCACGAAACCCGGGCGCAAACCATTTCAAATCGAGTCACAGTAATAAAGAGAAAAGAAATTCACGCTGAGATGGAGACTTGTTGGGATTCAAAGCTCTCGGTAGTATTCACACCGGAACAGAGATGAAACAGTCTCCGCCAAAAATGCAGGTCTGCCTGGAAAAACGGGGTATGTGGCTGGAGCGGGTGAACATAACGTTGGTGAAGACGGCAGTGATAAGAAAAAATCGGGCCATTTCATCACGTATCATCTGTCCAAACGGAAACAGGCAAAAAGAAAACCAGAGGAAAAACGCTACCCGGGGAAAAGAGAACGGAAGGGACAAGAACAAAACCCATATCTGCGGGGCCAAGATGCATCCGAAGCATGTACAGGCTGAATGATGCCGGATCAAGACTCCATGGTCATGCAAAGAGAGACAGACGAAAGAAAGGGAAAACGTAATCACATGTCAAAGTTGTCGTCAACGTTAAAGATCCCGGACTCAGTGCCATTCATGCGCTGATCGGTCGAGTTGGTCGGGCGGTGGGTTCGTTGCCATGCCCTGTCGTGCACTGAGTCTTCTTCCATCTCATCTGGCTCATTCTTGAGGTGATGGTCGATGGAGCTCTCGTTCACGAAGGTAAAGCCCTTGAAATTTGCTTGCATACCCGGGGATAGGGGTGTGGAGCCTGGCATCAAGCCGTTGGCCAAAGCGGCCGCGCGCAAATTCAGCGAGTTGTTGTTCTCCAGAGCATTAGTGAACTCTGGATCAAAGTTTGAGGTGTCGGTGTCGGACTGTAGCTTGGGCTTGAACGGCGGGATGACCTGCTTACGGCAAAGCGCATCCCAATCAATGTCGTCGAAGAATGGATGTTCCATAAGCTGCTTCGCATCTCCCTCGGCGCCCAGGCGGTGCTTGGGGTTGCGGTTGAGCAGACCCTTCACGAAGTTCCTACCCTCAGTGCTGAGAGCATCCCGGGGGAACCGAACTTTACCAAAAGCAATGTTCTTATACATCTGCTGGGTATCTTCGGCATAGAAAGGACTCCAGCCACAGCACATCTCAAAGACCAAAACACCAAGCGACCAGAAGTCAACCATCTTGGTATAACCTTGCTCGTCGAGCAGAACTTCGGGGGCGAGATACTCGGTAGTACCACAGAAGGTGTTGGTGGTGTCGTTTTGACTTAAGTTGGCCTTGGAAAGACCAAAGTCACAAAGCGCAATGTGACCGTTGGCGTCCAGCAAGATGTTCTCCGGTTTCAAATCGCGATAGACGATGTCGTGGTCGTGGAGATGTTGCAGCGCCAGAATCAGCTCCGCAATGTAGAACTTTGCCCGGGCTTCCTCGAAGCGACCCTCACGCTGAAGATGCCAGAACAACTCACCGCCAGACATGTAATCAGTGACTAGATACAGATCTGTCGGTGTCTGGAAAGAAAACTTAAGCCCGACGATGAACGGGGAAGCCGCCATCGCGGTACGCACAAGGATATTCCGCTCTCCGAGTGTGTGCACAACTTCCTTCTTCTGGATGATGACCTTCTTGGACAGTACCTTCATGGCGTAAATGCGTTCTGTGTCCTTCTTCTTGACCTGGTAGACTTGGCCGAAAGTTCCCTTGCCAATAAGCTTGAGAATTGAGAAATCGTTCGGGCCCACATTCTTTCGGTCGGTCATCTCGAATTGCATTTGTAGGTGAATTTCACCCGACACTTGGCTATCTCCAGCTCCGCGGGCGACCAAAGGGAACCACCCTTCTAACCGGCTGTGGTCCTCTCTCAGGTTGATGCTCAGACGGACGTGGCCTAGGAAGGCTTCCGAATCGCTGCGATCGTAAACGGTGACGTCGACTTCAGACTGGTCACCCAGAACATCACTTGAAAAAAAAAGAAAGACAAGTAAGTAAGATGAAACAAGTGATGAGGATGAAAAAAAAAATCTGCAACAGCGGATAAGACTTACAATGTGGCCTCGTGATCCCAGTGAGGATCGGTCACGGGGGATCTGCCCTTGTGATTCTGGGCATCGACGGCGGTGTTGTGGCTGCTCTGGCGACTTCGCATTGGAATGGCCATGGGCATGCCAGCCTCGGCGTCGGATTCCATCTGACGTCGCTTCTTTTCCTCTTCCCCATCACGAGCACCCTTGGAGATGTATTCATTCCACTCGAAAACACAGACAACATATGGATCGAAACTAGGACGCAATCCTCGAGCCTCGGAAATCTTCACGAGCAATTTACCCTTGAGAGGACCGACCGGGGGTCCATTGGTCGGGGATGCCGAAGATTCGCGGGGGAAGGCTTCGTCGAGTTTCATGGTGATTTCGTCGGTGGAGGATTCCATCTCCTCAGGCTCATCGGGGGTGATTTGGGTGGGTTGTGTTGGTTGAGGTTCTTCGGCTTCACGGGGGGCCGATGTGGCGGATTGCTTATCCGTAGATTGGTCTTCGTTGGACATCGCACGGGGGGTCAGCGGCGGGGTATTCTTAAGACACGCCCCATCGGGTGCGTTCAGAGTCAGCTTGGAAAGTTCTTCGGACGGTATTGAGACGAGCGATTTCTCGTCGTGCGGCGGCAGTGGATCGGCCAG